GCTTACCACGAAGGGGCAATTTGAGTTTCGGGAACAGGAAAAAGTCACACGACGCCAGATCTGGAGAATATGGTGCCTGAGCGATGACAGTTGTGCCGTGTTTGGTCAAAAACCCGCGTTCAACAAGAATTTTCCATAGTAAAAATCACTAAAGGTAGTCTCACATTAACAGCTGCTGTAAATAAACTAATTGACAGATGGCGCTCAAATTTGTACCATATGTCAAGAAAGGGTGAAAGGGTATGAAAGGGTATGTCATAATTTTTGAAAAAGGTCTATTACTTAAAGAGTAGTTAACAAACAACAAAATCCGAAAACTTTTTGAGCAGAAGGTATACTATATGCTCACTATATATGCTATATATTCACTGTATAATCTATATATTCACTGTATATTATTTATATATATTATTTTTACACTATATAAATTCACTTTAAATACTATATATTCATTATATATACTATATGCTGACTATACATTATACAATAAATATATATTATTGTATAATCTATATATTCACTTTATATACTATATATTCACTGTATTAACTATATATTTTTTATTTATCCTGTACTATTTAGTAGGAAGTCATGACGACAGGCTCAATGATATGTCATAGGTATATATACTGTACAATCAAGCATTAAGCCTGTCCTCATAATGAAGCGATACATTGGTTTTCTAGACATAAATAGAGTAACCGTCATCCAAAATTCCTATAATCAGCCATTGCGGTTTATTATTTGACATTTGTGTGAAGTGGTACAATTGTGGTACCGTAATAGGTGCACTTTTAAAGCGTAAAGGGACTACGCACTTCTACTTTAACTGATAACACATATAAATTACAAAAACTGAATAAAATATTCATAACCTTTGTGGGTATTTTATATGAAAAAATTCGATTTTTGACATGACTAATTAATTAGTCCATTAATGTTGTTCTAACCTATTTAAAGAAAACATATTGTTTTTGTTATAAATCATCGTGTGATTTTCCCCGTTCTTTTTGGGAAAAGCTAACAATGCAAGAAGTATACACAATGAATCATATTAAAGACTCTCAAGGGTAAACATTAAAGACGAAAAGTAGGATTTATGATAAGAGAATTAAGATCATGAGAATGGATCATGAACTATTAATATTTTGGGTATACGAAAAAAATACAGTAAAAAGTAAAATAAAAATAAATAAATATTAAAATCAAAAATCGTACATTGTATAAAATATTAGTCTTTAGTTTTAAAAAAATGTACTAATGTATAAAGCTATACTGGAATCTTTGTGAACCTAGGAAATTCAGTTATGGGGCACAGCACCCATTGAGATTCAAAATTTTGAGATTAATATTTAATGTCGTATGGTTTTTTGGGGAGATAATGTATATGATAACATTGTATGTATATAAAGATATATATTTTAAGATTTTGACTGCGCATGAGTAAGTTAAAAGGCACTCTATTCTAGAGTGTCAGCATCTGATTCTAGATGCTGAATATATTTAAAAATAAATTAATTGGGCTTTAAATATCCATAATAATTTGAAAATTCTGTCATATAGTGAACCTTTTTACTATGACGTTTTTCCTTCCATAAGATATACACTTAGGTATACATTTATGTATCCATTGTTCGGTAGTAGCGTTGTCTTAACTGTTCTGTGGAGTTGCTATTAATTTACCAGAGTGGACTGATGTTATTTAATATATATACCAATAAAATCGTATTATGTGATAATTTATGGTGAAATTACTTCATCAAGTGATTACTGAAATATTTTATTATAGTGTACAATAAAATTTCCTTATTAAAAATGCACATTTTCGATTTCATTATTTATTAGTTTCGAATATCAATATTTTAATTGTTCGAACTTTTTTTCTGCGAAAAAATTAATTGGTGAATAAATGTCGGAAAGTGTGCTCTACAAAAATTTTTTCTTCTATATTTTATTATTTTATATTTTATTACAAACCTATTTATATATCTAAGTGACAGCTATTATCTCATTTCTAAAAATTTTCTTCTATATGTTTTATATCTAAGTGACAGCTGTTATCTCATTTCTAAAAATTTTCTTCTATATGTTTTATACTCGACTCGTATATTTCCAAAATATATTTTCGTATATTTTCCAAAAAAAACTACAGTCTTCGAAAAATCATTGCATATCTACGAGAACGCAAGGTCAAATAAAATATTATTAAATAATAATTGAACTTTTTCAAACAACCAAATAAATTGTTGGTGCAAGAAATAATCTTGTATATATATATATATATATATCACCAAAATATATTCATATTATATTGAATTTAATCTTTAGTTTATATAGTATAAACTCAGCTAGATCTAGAAAAATACTTTTTTTATACAATCGCCGGTAAATGTTTATTAATTTTGTAATCTGAATTTATATATAATACCTAAGATCATGCAAGATTAATTATAAGGTATTTTTTATATTAAATAAAATCTACAAATATAAGTGATATATAATATAATATAGTTGATATATAATATAATATAGTTGATATATAATATAATATAATTGATTATAAAGTATATAGTCTGTGTATAGTCTGAAGAAAAGTCGTCATATGATTATCTTTTCTACTGATAAATCTTATACTTATGATTATCTTATACTTATGACTTTATGATTAATCGTCAGATTCTTCCGGTTTATTTCAAATCATACCATTCACAGAGATTTCAAGGTAAGCCATGTGAAAAAAGAAAATAAATTAAAAAATCATCAGGAAACCTCTATAGTGAAATTACTATAGACTTTACCTTTAAACAGATTAAAATTTTGGAATTTATACTTTAACTTTTAAAATTTTAATTATTATAAGACAATATTTCCAGAAAAAATTGTACCATTAAATGAGTTGCCAACAAGAATTTTTTTTATACCGTTCACCTTAATTATTATCTTTTAAATAGACATATTGTAAATTTATATAGAATAAAAGAAAATAATTTATGTTTCTAGTTTTACGAATATGGATACTTTTTTTAAATTTTATTGTGACAATTATTTTTTATTAATTAATCAATATAACTATAATAAAATAAAGAAATTTTTTATTAGAACAAACTTTTTTTAATGATTATGTATTACTTATAGTTCCGTTTATTAGACTTTTTTTAATTATTATGTATTACTTATAGTTCCGTTTAATAGACTTTTTTTAATTATTATATATTACTTATAGTTCCGTTTAATAGGCTCTCGTTTTTAATTAGTTTATTAATATAACCTTCAACTTGAATATATTTTATAATAATAACAATATTATTTCCTTAGGCAAAAAAAAACGTGTGGGTCACACTTCCTGGGTGCTTATAACAATTTATTTTAAATGTCGAATATCTGAGGGTAAATGTAAAAAACTATTGTCAAGTGTAGAAAATTAATAAAAAAACAAATCAAAAAATTATATTATTTTTAATTTGTGCTTAAATATCTGAATTTTACAAAATGAATTTAAAAGTTGAATTCCAAAGTACAGTGATTCAGAAGATCGCTGCAATTAGAGCAATCTTATATATTGTATTTAATTTTGAACGTAGTACTATAATGTTGATGTACAAGAATGATTTAATTTTGAAATAAATATTCTTATCTAGAGACTCAATTCGTCAACGTTGTTGCTTTCACTTTATAGGTTTTTGCAGGGCTAGCAATTTTGCTGGAAATTCTTTTTGGGATATTTGGATTTTAATGATTGATGACTTTTATTAGTGTATAGTTTGGTATGAGTTATTTGATTTATTTTCAAACCTCTTCGTCTTTGCAGTTAACAATATATTACCAAAATTATGGATTTCGAAATAAAATATTCTGTATAATTTCGAATTAAATTTTTATTTAAAGTAAAATATGTATGAAAAGAAAAAAATATTTTGTATATAATTAATTGAATATTCTGGATGACTATACAGCCGTTTCGAGATAATACCCATCATCAGTGGTCTATAGAAATAATTACTTTTGTTTTATTGCTCCGTATATATAATTTAATAGACTACAAGTGCTAAGCTTAGAACTTTAAATCTGTTGAAATTTTCGAAGTAATGACTCATTCATTAGTTGAGAGTGTCAAATACTGCACAAGTCTTTATTATTCCAATTTTATTAAAATTTTTTTTTACTTTTATTTGTTTTCTTAGAAGACAGCAACCAAAGCACTTATCACACTTTTTTATTAGAATTAATTAAACATTTTATTGTAAAATAAAAAATATTTAAATAATATAATTATTAAATAAAATTCTGTATTTTTCTGTAATTATATTATTGCCTTCGTTTCTTGGACTACTGCTTTGTGGAAGTAATTTAACTTATTTGTCTCGAACTTCTATATTAATCCTCTAAGAAAGGGCTGTCCAAACCACGATCCACGAGCCTCATGCGGTCGGAACTAATATTTGTGCGGCCCGCGACAAGTTTCTAATCTACCACATATAATCTAATAAAACTAAACTTAACATTATTACCGTTAAGTCATTACTACCATTTTCATTTTTCCCTGAAAAACCATGGACGTATTTATTTGTTTCTGCGGTCCTCCAAGCTAAGCAGTGACTTGTATTGGCCCGCGATGGTATTTGCAATGGACAGTCCTGCTCTAAAACGTCTTGGAGGAATTAGTTAATATTTTGTAAATTAATTAGCAATTGTATTGTTCTATACTAAAACTCGCTTGGACTCATTATATCTTATTATTAAAATGATTAGTTAGGTATAATAAATGAAATATTTTATATTATAATTCTTTTTTATTAAACCTTTATAATTTTTCATATTGTAATTTTTTTTTTATTAAACATTTATAATATTTTATATTATAATTTTTTTTAATAAAAATTTATAATATTTTATATAATAATTTTTTTTTATTAAACATTTGTATTACTTGTTTTTATAGCTGTTTAATATGTAATTATTTACATATTAAAAATTTGTTTCTTTTTTTTATAAAATTGGAATAATTACTTTTATAATAATGTGTCATCGATCAGAAATCAATTTTTTCCAAATATAGATTTTCGTAGAGGTGTTATCTTGTTTTTGTATAAACGTATCAGAAGGCACAGTTTCTTTTTGGAATAATAAGCTTTACTTTTGTTGATGAATAATCTCTCCCAAAAATTTTTACCTTTCCAAATTTAGTTTTTTCTAACCTTGAGTTATTCACGATAAGAGCTCTCAGATATCATAATTTTGTCTAGGAACAGTACAATATGAAAATAGAAACATTATTTTAAGAAATATAAATACATATAGAATATTTAGTATGTAAAGTTTTTACTTATTACCGATTTTTAATAAATATCTCCAAATCAATATTTTTATAAACCCAAATACATAAAAGTATGGAACAATATTTGTTTCAGTTTGCGGTTTCCAGACAGTAAGTATTTCATAATGTTGTTCTTATAGACGTAAGCCAAAGGTCCAAATAAAAATATAAAACAACTAATCGGAAAAGCTAGTTCATTCTTAAAAATTCGTGTTGCTAGAGATTCATTTAAATCAACTTGTTTTACTGTGAGTTCACAATAATAAAACAGAAAGCGAATCCGAACAATCTCTGGTAGATCAATTATAATATGTGTACATTTCAAATCTTTGTCAACACTACTTTTTATGTATTCATGCCGATTAATGAACTCACATAGAGCAATAACTTTTATCTTCTTCCCACAACACGAATTCTCCCAACATGGTGTGCCAGTCATATTCTTCAAAATTATACCAATCTCGTTATTTAGATAGATTTTATCATCTGAGGTTTTGTGTTTTTTATGCGATTTAAATCCATCGCATAAAATTTTATACAAACTATCTAGATTACAACCGAAAAACCCAAATTTGGTTCCATAACTCATGCTTCTTCCTTCAAACAACACTTCTTCTTCAGAATTAATTGAGTAATTGACCTTAAAAACATATGTCGGTATGTCAACATTGTAACTTTGTTCTATATTTGCCATAAGATCAACAAATTGAAAGTATTTCAGTTTCTCCAATCTTGGTTCATTTAAAATAATCAGTACAAAATGCAGTAACTTGATCACTAGTTTGTTATTGCAAGTGTAGTCCTTATTAAGAAATTTGAAACGTACATCATACAGACTAGGAGTCACATTAATTACATCCAGCATTTCCTCTACGTTCCTAGTAAAGTCTGGTATGTATGGTAGTAGCAATTGATTATCACTGTAATTAATCGTTGCAGTAATGAATAAGTTCCACTTGGCATCACAGGCTTCTAAATCATCTAACAGTACGTACTCCAACTCTTTGCATGCTCTCAAGTAATGAACCAAAGTATCTGATTTTCCATTTACACCAATTAATAGTGGTTTACACACACCAGTATCTAGCAGTTTCTTTTCTAATTCTTCAAAGAATAAGTTATCATATTCAACCATTTTGGGTTCTATAAAGTAAGTAATTCTGTATGTGAAAAACCTACGATTTTGAGATTATCTACTTTTGCGAAAAATGAAAATTATTATGAAAATAAATTTTTTTAGTAAAGTTATGTATAAAATATATTTTTAAATAAATAAAAATACTATACTTGAGTAAATTAGAATTTTGATATTAAAGGCAATGAAGTTTTTAAAAAAAAAAAAAACTTTGATTAAAGCTTGTGATACAAAACTTTTTAAAAGATGTGTATTGATTTATTTCAAAACTCAAACTATTTCAAATCTTAATATATTTTATCTCAAATAAACGAAAGAATCTCATGTCATTATGTATAGACATAATATACATAGATATACATGATATACATAGATATGTATATCACAATTAAGTCAGACATTAAATATATCTTCAGATTTCCTCTTATAGTATGTTCCCATTGCCTTCGTTAAAGCAGTTTATCTATTTGATTTAGGTCGTTAATAAAGTTTCGTACTGTTTAACTTAGTTAAGTATAAATCAAGGGAAATTACATAAAAAATGCAACATTGTAAAGTATATAAATTGAATAATATAAATTGATTTAACTGCAGTGAGAACGTGGTATTAGCTGAATAACAGGTATACAAAAAAGATTTGTTAGATAATTAACGTTGATTTTCCATCACTAATCGGAAGTAAATAGAAATAAAAGATAGAATTTAGGCACAGTCTCTGCAATGCAATTCACAGAGCTTTAAAAAAACAGGAAGTCCTAAAATTTCATGGGGAGAAATATATCACGACCAACATAGTAGTAAAGCAGACACATTAAATTAACATTAAATTATGAAATATCAAACAAGTTTAGATACATAAGTTATATGTGTTCTACGTTTTATATAAAGTGTGACTAATGTAATAGGTTAGTTCAAATTATACTGGCGAACCTAGAGATACACTGATGCCAATTGTCCCATTTAGGTGTTTAAAAACCATCTTGCAACTATGACAATGCCTAAAATGCGCTTTAAAGGAAAGTCTTGAAGCTTGCTAAGATCCTCTAAGAAATAAGTTCCAATTATTATTAAACGACAATAGTACAACAAGAGAAGTAAAAAATGTCTGGGAAACATATACTATTCAGTTCTATTTGAGTATTAATATTGTGAATGTTCCTTAGATGTGAGAATTGATGCAAAATTGCAAGACAGATCAACATGGTTTGAGATTATTTGCATACCTGGACTGTATAGAAATTCCTTCAATAGTGTTAGAGAGGTTTTAAAATGCTCTTAAAAATACAAAAGTAGCAGGTCCGCATATATTGACGATGTTACAGTGTTACTAATTAAATAGCATTATGGGAGTTATTTAAACGATATGTTTCAGCCCAGTCTGAATATTTGTGATGAAAAAAAAATTTGATACAGGAAGTGAATCATATTATCATTAACGTCATATTCATAATGTTGAATATTAAAGTAATTTTATAATAAAAATTATTAAAAAAAAAAATCTCCTAAATTTTATAGTTAGGGCTCGTGAGGTCTATAAAAACTTTAGTATCGAATGGGGTTTTTGTATTCATTTAATGACAACGAAAAATAATTATATAAATGTTGTTACGTCATAGTAAATTTTAAAATGAATAAAAAAAATTACTTTATATTTTGGGTCAGAAATTTTATATATTCAAATTTTATTTGTACGAACGTACCTACATGTGCACGTTGAACTGCCAGACAATACGTAATTTTTTTTATATTCTCTACGATTCTTACAAAATAGTGTGAGGAAGTGTCTACGTGGCATACATTAAGTCTTGGGTATATGCAAATTTCATAGAAACATTTACATTATGGAATTTGCGTATAGTTTTATATTTGCACGTAGTTCTCCACCATAATAGCTGAATCTTTTCTCTCTAAGTAGTTTTTTCTAGTAGTCAAATTAGTTATAGTTATGTAGTTATTTCAATCTTGGTCATTATCGATTATTGAAAAATTGAATTAAAACTATTATTATTTATATTATTACTATTGTTTTTTTAATTATCTTCAACATTTCTTATCCATCATTTTTATAATTTTTTTATTGGCATTGCATATAATTATAGAACAGATAAAATCAATTACACATCTATTTATAATCATAAAAAATACAGTAGAAAGCTTACTGGAACTTCAAAAAAAAACATTAGAACTCATGTTTTTCTAGTATTGATTAGAGTAAATATCATTGAGAATAATATTTCCTATTCGAAAGACGATAGTACTGGAACTTAGAATTGAGCACTACTACGAAACCCTTACGTAACTTTCTCTTTTTTAATGTTTAATTAGTTTGTAATTTTTTTCTTTAATTATTGGTATATTTGTTGAAAATATCAGTGCAAAATCACGTAGGCACACTGATAGACCCGTAAGTCTTCTGAAACAATTTGCTTTTGTTGATAAGTACTATTATCTACTACTTTTATCATAGTTGTGGATCTCCAAAGGAGGAGAAAAATATGTTTAACTAATATTTCACTGTCCATCCCTGACCAATACAACACTGAAAATCTTTGGACCCTAATTTCTCAACGATCTGATATATCTGCTATCATTTAAAATTAGAGTTCATAGCCAACTTTATAAACTGTTGTACTTTGACTTAAGTCAAGGTGTCCATACGCTAACTATCTTGGTATTTGCCATCAGTTTGACCTAACTGAAACTTAATAAATTTATAAATACATATCGTTAAATATATAATTTAAATAATATATTTATTTATTTAAAATCAGTGCTATCATTTACAAATTTTTAATGGACTATTTTACGAGTTAATTTATTAACTAAAAAATTTACATAATATTTTAATTTAATTTTTTTCTTTTTATTTACAGTAACTAAATTAAAATGACGCAAGAAAAAGTGGAAGAAGTGATAGCTGCTGCAGGTGATGAACCTTTTTTGGGAACATTGGATATTGCACTTTTAGTTGTACTCATAGCAGGTGCTGCCTGGTATTTTATGCGTAATCGCAAAAAAGAAGAAGAACCCATACGATCCTACTCAATACAGTAATATCTAATAGACACATTCTAAATTTTCAAGATGTTAAAAACACTTTGTATAATTATAGACCCACCACAGTTAGTACGACGACAGCTGCTGAAAACTCGTTTATTAAAAAACTGAAAGCTTCAGGACGTAGTTTGGTTGTATTTTATGGTTCACAGACTGGCACTGCTGAAGAATTCGCTGGTCGTTTGGCTAAAGAAGGTATACGTTATCGATTAAAAGGCATGGTCGCTGATCCAGAAGAATGTGATATGGTATGTTAAAGAACTATTTTAATTTTGAAACATTATTGTAAATATTTTTTTTTTATTTTTGTAGGAAGAACTTCTACAATTAAAAGATATTTCAAACTCTTTGGCTGTATTTTGTTTAGCCACATATGGTGAAGGTGATCCAACAGATAATGCTATGGAATTTTATGAATGGATTACAAATGGTGATGCTGATTTAACTGGTTTAAATTATGCGGTAAGTTTTTATACAATCATTTTAAAAATTATATTCGTATGAAGCACATGGTATGTGCGTAAATAATTTATGCTCAGCTAAATAAATTTTGTTAAATTTTAAATTTATTCAGACGGAAAGTGATAAATAATGAACATATGATTTAAATTAGAATGCCTAACTCATTATAAGAGTCGTGACCTATTTCCGCATATTATCCAAAAATACTTTAATGCTATATGAATAATAAAAGAATGGATAATATATATAAAGTAAACATATTTTTGAAGTTTGTTTTGTTTTATTCTCAAATATTTTTCTATTTGCTTTATTTTCTATATAGAAGTTTTCTTAGCTTTTTAATCGTTGTTGTTGTTGTAACCCTCGGGACCTGTAAGTAGAGAAACAACGAAATACGACAAATACAGAGTAGGAAAGTAGGAGGAACGTTAGGGGATAAATGGAGGGTGAGAAGGAGGAGGATGTGGAAGAGTTGGGTAGGAGGTATTTATGTATTTACTTAGTTGTATACTAAAAACCTGCGTGCTGTATATAAGAATTTAAATTTTATATTAATATTATAGTAATAATCTTAAAAAATATATTAATATACTAAATAGCTTGGCACTTGCAGTCCAAGAAATTATATACGGATCACTCATGATAAGTACCTAGAAATACTCGAAACAGTGTTGTATGGTCAGCTAAATTTCAATAAATTAATCAAGTTTTTGCTGTTGTTTCTTCATTACTGTTAGAACTCTTCTATAAAAATGGAATGTTTGTTAAGTAATATCACTTTGCAATAGTTGTTGATGTTTGTACACTGTTGTTGTTATGGGTTAACAACCGTCTTGAAAAACAGGCACATATAGCGGCTACATTACTTGAATAATAAGTTTGGATGGAGAGCGTGAGCTATAGGTAGAACTGCTAGGTAGAACTGAAGAAAGGGATACGTATAACAGACCAGTTTGTGGTATCACCCCATAAAAATAGCAATTACTTATAAATTTCTTTTTTTATATACATATATATAATTGTGAGTGTCTCCGGGACATATAAGTTATACGGCCACTCTGCATGCATGCACGAGCTATAAAGCTTTAATATAAGTTATTTGGTATTAATTTGCAATTCTATTGTTAATGTTATAGATAAGAGTGAATATTTCCGGGTTTGATAATTTAATTGCATTTCAATTTAATGTTAATGTATGTTTTTTACAAAAACATATTAATATTTAAAAAAGTGTACTAATTTCTACTAATCATACAGTGTGATGATTATTAACTAGAAATTAATAGGAGTCTCTAAATGTTTTTCTAAATTAAAAAATTTAATTTTTTATTTTTATTGTTTAATTTTTTTTAAGCTTTCTAAATATAAAATCATATTGTACAATAGTTTGGAATTAGAAGATATCAGGGGGTAGGATTATTGTATGAAAATGGTATATTTCTTGTAAAATGCTCTCTTACAATTTATGACTGCAGAATTAGGTGGTCGAACCGAGCTGCGATCGATTTGCGTAATTATTAAGTTCGGGATTCAGTACTGGTAATCATTAGTATGTCGTGTGATGAAAGCACTTTAAGTATTGGATCGAGTTGAACTCCAGCGTCGATGGTATATATTGTATTAAAGAGATTTTTTTTATTACTTACATATATAAATGAAAATTTTTGAAGGAGTTACAGATGATCTAGAAGTGATGATCAGAGAAGTGTTGTGATGTTTATTACTAAAATTTAAGGGATAATAATACGCTACGTTCCCTTCTGGTTTTTATTGAATAAAATTTACTTTAAAAAATTTTTTAATTATTAATAGAAATCATAATTATTTGCTTTAAGTTCGTTTGGTGTCTTTTAATGTCAGATAAATTTATTAGCCTACGAGCAAATAGTATCGTTCAACCATTATTAACAAAATCTATAGATAAACCTAGTCTTTGGTTTCCTCTAAAATACCGGTAGTTTAAAGGAGATTGTCTTTTTAAAGAAACATTCATTAAGTTAGGTTCAGTTCTATTTAAGTTGAAACATTGTGCTTTTATTTTGTATAGTACAATGCAACAAGCAATTTTTTTCTTCACGTTTTGAAAAATATTTGACATATATTAAGTATTTATTTTGAGCCTTACTTCTTATATAGACAAGGGCTTCATACTATAAATAGACTTTTTATTTACTTTCTGTTTTTATTATGTTCGCTATATTATATGAAAGTTTGTCTATGTTAAATGAATGGTTTTGAGACTTTTACAGTTATATTGCGTTGTAACTAGTATTTTAAATTTTTTTCGAGAAGACTGAAATTTTATCCATTTCAATGTTCGAGTATGCTTGTGTTCGAGCATTTCCAATATTGAACAGAACGATCCGCTTAAATATCTATAAACACCAAAAGATGCTTCTGTATTTAGCTTGAATATCTTCAGTTCGAATATTTAAAGTAATTGATTCAGATTTGAGTATACTCGAACTGCTAGAGCTGTTCGATGCTCGAACACTTCGACCCAACTTTGAGCAGTTGTATCACAGTTTCTATATTATTTTATAATATAATATATCATAATATGTAATAAAATAATTTTGTAAAATATTTCACAAAAATTGTTCAATACAACTCCAATAAAGATATGATTAAAATATGTTCAATCAAACTAAAAATTTCAAATGTTTGGGTATTTAAATACGAGTATACAGTTTGATGTTCAAACACACACACTTTGAAGCACTAATTTAATACTGGATTCACACTAGAGTTTTGTTTTTGTAATTTTAGTTGTCAAAAATGTTCATTTTGCATTAAAAGCAACAACAATTGCCACCTAGAACTATAAACATGACAGCTAAAATTACAAACAATTTTAGCTGTCATAATGTTAATTTTGAACTAATTATATTGCACTTTGAAGCATTAATTTTAACGTTGAACTAATTGCGTTGCACTTTAAAGCACTAACGTTCAGTTAACTACGCTGCAAATGTCAAATGTTTCATAACATGTTCCATAACATATAAACATGTTAGCATGTTACTAGAGCTTCAAACACCTTAAACCATTAATTTTACCGTTGAGCTAATTACATATAAGAATTATAGAATTTTATAATGTTTCATAATATTTTATAATATTTCATAACATTTTAACTTGTTTCATAACATGTTAACATTTTACTAGAGTTTCAAACACCTTAAACCATTAATTTTACCGTTGAGCTAATTACATATAAGAATTATAGAATTTTATCATGTTTCATAATATTTTATAATATTTCATAACATGTTAACATGTTAGCATTTTACTAGAGTTTCAAACACCTTAAACCATTAATTTTACCGTTGATCTAATTACATATAAGAATTATAAAATTTTATCATGTTTCATAATATTTTATAATATTTCATAACATTTTAACTTGTTTCATAACATATTTAATAACATTCTAACACGTTTTATAACATATTAACATGCTAGCATGTTACTAGAGCTTCGAACACTTTAAAGTACTAATTTTAACGTTGAGCAAACTATATTGTGAATATGACATATGACTATTTCATAATAAAATACATAAATGATAGATAATATATAATAATATAATATTATCTCATATTTTACTAAAATTGTTAAACTCTTTTCATGTTAGTCTAATGAAAATAGAATTAAAATGAATATATTACAAGAAAATAAATCAAAATATTTAAATCAATTTCTCATAAATAATAGTATGCAATTAAAAATAAATAATAACCGTTAATAATGATTATGTAAAAACAAAAGGTTAAGCGGGAAAATATTCATTAAGTTCATATATAAGTACTTGATATATAGATACATTCTGTAACTATTATAATGTCTATGTTATTGAAATTTGTAATTAATAATTATAATGAATAGCGCATTATCTATCATATATGATATTATTTTTTTTAAAAGAAATTATTTATTTGATTTAATGATAAAACTACAATACCAAACTCGATTAGAAATCGTTATTTATGTATTTCATATTTTAACTCCTTCAGTTCTTTGATGCTAAGTTAAAAATAATATGTATATAATTTTTGTTAAAAACACTGATAATGCCATTATCGTAGGCCAGCAAATTTTGCTAAATAATTTTGAGATAAGTTAAACCAAGTCGGCTGAAAGAAACAATATTAAGAACTAAATAAATAAAAAAAGCTATTATCAATTTTTATTATACATATGCCATCATATTTATATATACATATACGAATAGTTCACAATTTTAATTATTCGTTGTGGCCGAATATGATATCTGCTCAATGTCATTACAAATAACCCGTGTTGAACTCTCCTAATACTGATAAAAACAATATATACACGTAATTTGTTTATTTGTTTTATATTGAATAATATCTAATCATGTTTACTTTTTATGTATGATGTAATTTATAATTATTAACTTCCTCATATCTGTTATTTTACGCTAATAGTATTACAAACCAGATATAATCTAATACTTCAATACTAAAATATCTTAGTACATAATTATTGCTTTTTATTTTAATTATATAAAAAAATAAACATTTTTGAAGTGCACTTATTTATTCTGTAAGTTTGTTTTAATTTTACTATTTGTTTGTAGATATGTAAATATTTAAATTAACTAGATACTTAGGACGTGTACGAGTTAAGCTAAGTTGATGCTAAACGAAATGGAAGATTTTTTGGGATTTTTTGCACTGCAAACATTTAGTCATTTATTAACACGTATCGACACATTACGACACTACATTATCGGCACAAGTTAGAATTTCCCTTATTTAGAACGCAACTTATATGCTGTTCAGACACACCTTAGTTTCGCAAAAATCTTAGTTTCATCTTCGTTTCAGCGAAACTAAGTTGTTTTTTCCATACAAAACTTAGTTTCAATGTCAAAACGAAACTAAGGAAAATAGCCTTAATTTCGCTGAAACGAAGCATGAAACTAAGGGAATTTTCAAATGCAACTATGTTAAAAACAAATTTTAAGCAAAAGATAAAATTGAGATAACGAAAAAGTGACATGTATTTTTAAAAACAGCTGACTTTAATAAAACCGGGAAAATATTTTGAATAAAATTTAAACAGTTAAGCATTGGCGATGGAGAAGAAAAGTTATAAAAAAAGGTACGGTTGGACCCAAGCAGCAGAAAATGCACTTTTGGAGGTTTTGGAGTGCAATATGGAAGGCTTTCGTGGTGCACACAAGAACGGGCATGTGCATAAAGAAATCAGCGATGCATTAAATCAACTCGGGTTTATGCTCAATCCCAAAGAAGTGCAAACGAAAATAAATAACATGACCTCAAAATTCAGGTATTTGGAATTAACGTAATGAAGATAATAATAATCAGGATGTTGGTTTTTATCAATATTTTTCAGCTCTTTTAACCATTGTGCATTAATGTGGTCGTTTTCATTTAAAAAATTGTGCAGCACACAACAAGCACTCACAATTATATTTGCATTATTAATTCTATTGTCCAAACCCTTTCCTATTCGTCGAAATCGTGCTTTTAAGTGTCCAAATGCATTTGCAACAACCCTCCTACATTTCGAAAGTTTCTAGTTATAATTTTTTTTACAAGCGGCATATCAACATTAAATTCCATATGTAAACAAAAAACATATGATTTCCTTAATTTGGGCAGTATGAACACTTTCGAAACTAACTTAGTTTCATTTTTCCGAAACTAAGGAAATTTGGCTGTCTGAACATAGCATTAGCCTAACTCGCACACGTCCTTAGAATACATTTTTGTTTAATGGAACATACTGTACATATAGCTGCCTTTGTTATTGCTGCTGGGTAATTCCAACACTTTTGGAGAATACAGTTGAGTTCATCTTACTTACGAATGACTAAAGTTTTCTTTATAATTATATTATTAAGTTTATTTAAATATATAAATTTAGAAACTAGTATAATTGAGAATTGATTTTTAAGTTGACAACAATGTTTCCAGTGTCTCCAGTGTTTCCAATGTGATAATTATTTTAACAGTTATTTTATAGTTATTAAATTTTGTCATATCTACATGACTAGACTTGAACCAGAATACTTGCATATATTGTTGTCAATTATAATATCAATCATAAAACAAGTTCCTTAGCTTCACTCACTCATGAAGACAGTGTTCAACTTAAGAATGTTTTAGAAAAGAAGCAAGTACACTTCAGTTTACAATATAGCTGGTTTACATTAGTTTGAAACCAATTACTTATGTCTAGATTTATATCAGGTTAGTATCCACAACAGCCACATCCACAGCGACAATGCCTACATACTCCACATATACTATATCAATATTGATAAAAAAAATAAAATAGAAGCCTTTGAAGTAATATCAATCCCCTTAAGACATTAAACTAAAAGATGACATGAGATCAGACCGCAGCTTGCGACTTCATACAGACGAATAAAATGAAAGTCTTTAAAACAATATAAATCCTATCACCTAGTTATGCTTAGGTTCCTTACAGGTCACTATCCATAACAGCCAGATCCAGAGCTACATTATGTATATAATCGCCACATGTACCAGATCAATCTTGCTAAAAAAGCTTTTAAAATAATATGAGTCCTCACAGAACACTAACCTATGACCTGACATGAGATTAGATTGCAACTTGATACAGACGAGTAAAGTAGAAATATTTAAAACAATATTAATCCTTTCGGTACACTGTAGTATAAGATGACATAAAATTATAACTCTTGAAGACCCGTTCGCTAATTTCACAAGAAGAAATACCTGAATATACCTCTCTTAGTAAATCTAATTTTACATTAAAATATTTGGGCACGTAATTCAACTCACTTCATAACATCTTCAATCTTAAAACCAATGAAGTGATTATATTTTATTTTATCTCGACTTCTTAGATTAGGAAATATTAATATGCCAACTTCAAGAAATTTAGATCTGCTTAAGTCGAATGATCAATATTCGTATAAATACTGGATTAAAACACAAAACTTATAAATTTATTGTTAGAAAATATCACGTTAAATAACAAATTAAATTTATATATTATAAATATGATATTTAAATTTAAAAATTATATCAGTGACTTTCTACCACTGCTTTAAAAAATAAAACCTTTTATTTCAAAAAACAAAATATGTAGTTTAACTTTGAAGTCCATCTTTAAGAAGATGTGAAGACTTATATGTCAAATTTATAGTCTATATGTATGCAATTTGGCCACGTTTCATGAAAAGTAAATTCGATTTTCTCATTCAGATGCCTCGTATAGATATCAGTCTTATGGTGGGTTTGCTTACAGGTCATTGTAGATTAGGTAACCATGCTAGAAGATTAAATCTACCTTTCCGTCATACCAGTGGTAGCTATGGGGAAGACGTTGAAAGTGCCTCTCATCCACTTTGTCTTTGTCCAGCTCATACACGGCGGCAACTCCACACTTTAGGTAGGGGCGGGCCCCCTTCCTTCCTTTCATTCCTTCCTTCTAGATTGAATCACGTCTTTTTAATCGAAAACGTTAATATTATTATTTTTTTTATTATTTTTCTATTTATTTCTATTTTCTTTATCTCATTTTACGTGTAACCTGTAAGTGCTCATTATTGGCCACTTAAACATTACTTAAGCTCTATTATTAAATTACAGATATTTATTAAGTGCCAAATTCAAACTTAATAATTACACATTGTGAGATGGGCCCTTAAAATACATTAATACAATAATAATACGTATGTACCTACATCACGTATAATAATAAATTTTTCCTATGGGCACCTAAACATATGGTTACGTTTTGTGTGTGTGTGTGTGAATTTCTATTGCGCATAGACTACAATAAGAGAGTGTGTATTTCTCTCTTTTACTCTTATCATCTGTGCGCTCTTAAGTGGTTGTATGTTTCCCATTTCAGATTATTTAATTCAAAAACGTGCATTTGCCGATTGTCGGGTCTAGTGTTTGTGTACTACAATTAAATTAATTTATTATGAAACATATATTTAATTAATAATGAAAAGTTAGAATGATTAAATTAGTTAATAATTAAAAAAATTACAACTAGATGTGATAATATAATTATTAATTACACATCAAGAGTTCTTACGTAATAGTTATGAAATTCTATGAAAAATGTACAGAAGTCGGAGTTTGGCACAATTGAGTTCCTCATGGATGTCTGTTTATGGTTTATCGAAATTGACGTCAGACATATCGTCAGTGCGGCGTTGGAACGCATTAGTATTAAAAAATTTATGTAATAAAAATTTTATATTACAAAATTTTAAATTCGGGGTAATTCTCATTACCGCAGTTTTTTAGTTCCAAAATTTCTGTTTTTAATTTAAAAATTTTTATGAACAAAATTTTAGCAGTAAATGAATTGTTTTTATTTTTTTTTTTATTATAAAAATAATAATTGGACTTTGTTTATTTTTTACAGGTATTTGGATTGGGTAATAAAACTTATGAGCACTACAACAAGGTAGCCATCTATGTCGACAAAAGGTTAGAAGAGCTTGGAGCAACCCGCGTGTTTGAACTTGGTCTCGGTGACGATGACGCAAAGTAAGTAGTCTTTGAACCTTTGAGTTGTCTTAATGCAGTTTTAATTGTTGTTGAAATTAAATTTAATAAAATGTTTTTGTCAGACATTTTATTATATTTACTTTATTATCACAATTTAATTGAAGCCTAGTTGAATCTATAAATATGTGTCATAAAAGGCTTTGTGCTAGGTAGGTATTAGGTTATACCGGTGAACCCTACTTAGGCCTATTAGCCCATTGTGTTATCATATATAGAGGAAAACTCAGGGTTAAAACCCACCTAGAACTTCTGACGAAGCTCAAAATACTGTTTAGTGGGAGGTCTTAACATATAATTAATCAAAACCCGCAACAAATAGGTCTATTGACCCAATGTGTTACCTTATACAGAGGAAAACTCAGGGTTTAAAACCACCTAGAACCTATTGGTGAAGCTTAAAATACTGTTTAGTGGAAGGTATTGTAATTGATCAAGGTCCTCGAGAAAGAGGACTCCTAAAGTCGTTGCCAAACATGAGCTGGGCACAGACAGTGTGAATGAGAGGCACTCTCATTGGCTTCCACACAGCTGCGACTGGTATGAGTGAAAGAAAGATTGAGGTACCCTAGTTTGCAGTGATCTGTAAGTAAACCTACCATAAACCTACTGATATCTCTAAGGGGGATCTTAATCAGAATATCGGATTTCCTTTTAGTGAAAGGTGACCAGTTTGCATACAGATATCTGCGTATCTTTGTGTTAACTAAAAACTCAAAAAAACTTTTATTATTTAGTAAAATATATTAAATTCTCACAAATGTTTTTCCTCAAACTTTCCATATACATTAAAGTAATCTTTAATAAATTTTTTTTTTATAGCATTGAAGATGATTTTATTACATGGAAGGATCGCTTCTGGCCAGCAGTTTGTGACTTCTTCGGTATTGAGGGCGGTGGTGAGGAAGTACTTATACGTCAATATCGTTTATTGGAACAAACTGATGTACAACCTGATCGTATATACACTGGTGAGATAGCACGTTTGCATTCGCTACAAAATCAACGTCCACCTTTCGATGCCAAAAATCCCTTCCTTGCGCCAATACTTGTCAATCGCGAATTGCACAAAGCCGGTGGTCGTTCCTGTATGCATATTGAACTTAATATTGATGGCTCTAAAATGCGTTATGATGCTGGCGATCATGTAGCTATGTATCCTATTAACGATCTGGGACTAGTCGAGAAATTAGGCAAAATATGTAATGCTGATTTGGATACTGTTTTCTCTCTAATCAATACTGATACGGATAGCAGTAAGAAACATCCATTCCCTTGTCCTACAACATATCGCACTGCCTTGACACATTATTTGGAAATAACTGCCATACCAAGAACGCATATATTGAAAGAATTGGCAGAATATTGTACAGATGAAAATGATAAGCAATTCTTACGTAGTATGGCCTCTATAACTCCCGAAGGCAAGGAGAAATATCAAAGTTGGATACAAGATGCTTGCCGTAATATTGTGCATATACTTGAAGATATCAAATCTTGTAAACCGCCAATCGATCACCTTTGTGAATTGTTGCCACGTTTGCAGCCACGTTATTATTCTATATCTTCATCTGCAAAAGTAAGTTTTATACAATGTTTCATATAGGTTTGATTTAAATATTATTTAATTTTCCTTATAGTTGCATCCAACCAATGTTCATATAACTGCTGTTTTAGTGGAATATGAAACTCCAACTGGTCGCGTGAATAAAGGTGTTGCTACAACTTACTTGAAAGATAAGAAACCAGCAGGTAGTGAAATCAAAGTACCCGTTTTCATACGCAAATCGCAGTTTAGACTGCCCACCAAACCAGAGACACCCATTATTATGGTTGGTCCTGGTACTGGTTTAGCACCTTTCAGAGGTTTTATACAAGAGCGCCAATTCTTACGTGATGAAGGTAAGACAGTTGGTGATACGGTACTTTACTTTGGGTGCAGAAAGAAGAGTGAAGATTTCATATATGCAGAGGTAAATTTATAATAGAAATAAATTATTAAGGAAATCATTTAATAAATCGTTAATATTAGGAACTTGAGGAATATGTCAATAAGGGCACCTTAACGCTGAAAACAGCATTTTCACGTGATCAAAAAGAAAAAGTTTACGTTACTCATTTGATAAACCAGGATGCAGATCTTATATGGAATGTTATTGGAGAGAATAAAGGGCATTTCTACATTTGCGGGTTAGTATTCAAATTAATTATTAAGAAGTTAAAATTTTAAAATAATTGTCTTTCATTTTATCTTTGTAGTGATGCTAAAAATATGGCTGTCGATGTAAGGGGTATTTTGGTAAAGATTTTAACTACTAAAGGCAATATGAGTGAGGCTGATGCTCAGCAATATCTGAAAAAGATGGAGGCACAGAAACGTTATTCAGCAGATGTTTGGAGTTAGAAACGATTGATTTATGCGAGCAGAGTCGTTTTCGAGCAAAACATTCCTCCGCTAATGAACAATCTTGCATGTTTAATGTTTCATAAAAACAAGAACAAGTTTATTAAATTTTTTTGTATATTTAGTTATGATTTTAATTATTATAATTTTAGTATCCGGTTTGGGAATATTTTCCATTCGTCAAATTTTAGCAAACAAACGAAAAGAAAATACGTTTATGTTTATTTCTATTTAATTTAGAAATATGTATGTAAAATAATTTTTATATAAAATAAGTAAAAATTTTTTTTGTAAAATAGCATCCAGTAAATTTATTTATTTCGTATTTGGTGTTTTACAAATATTGTGTGCAATTATTTAGAAAAAAATAACAAATTTTTTTATCAAAATTGAATTTTTAAATAAAAACGAGCTATTAAAAAAAATAAATATTTTTATACACATATTAAAATTTAATTGGTTATTTCGCGTATGGGAAATTTATTTTTAAGAGTTGCATTCGACATTTTTTACCTTAAATCAGTTGATATATTTATAATGAATTTATATGGAATTTTTTTGTATGGTAAATTATCCGCCTAAATGAACAAAACTGCGTAAATGAGCCAAGTGGAAACATGATGTTACACTGTTGTTTTCGATATTTCAGATCTGTAGTCAAAAAGATAAAGGCTTCTGTATTCCAATGTGTACTATATTTCTTCGATTACTACATTTAATTTGACTTTAACAGTATATTGTCTGACATTTGTCCATTTTTCATTCCTAAGAGTTGGTTTTAGTGGTTTCAAATCTTATAGTACATTTACACTGTCTCATTTATGCACTTGGTCATTTATAATAATGAGGCCATTTGTGGAGCTGATTGAATTTTTATAAATGTACCACATAAAAAATTAAATATCTGATTATTAAATTAAATCATTTATATATACATTTGAAATATCAATTACATATATAAATAATAAAAACAAAGATTTTATTAAAAAGTTACTTCCTTACAGCTCAGCTGTTGTTTGTTTACATTTTACATATAAAACATATGAGAAATATTTCAAATTTTGGTAATATCGTTTGTGGGAAATTTATTTTTAAAGGTTTCATTCGACAGTTTTCGCCTTTAATAAGCTGATTTGTGCATAATGAGCTCATTTATATGAAAGATTTTTGTATAGTAAATTGTCTCATCAGTGGCTATAATTAGCATAACCGTATAAATGAGGCAGTGTGATTATCCTATTACACTGTAACTTTCGATGTTTTCTACGTAAATGAAAAATTAATATTGCTAAATAAGTTAACTCACAACTATTTCAACCCTAAACAAAAACAAAGTTTAATTAAATGAGGCGCAGAAATTTGTGGTACTTTAATTTTACCATTTTATTATTAACGCTGTGTGTGAGTTCGAGTATATTAAGGTAAAGTAAATAGAAATTTCCTAGGGATTTTTTGCACTGCACTTATGTAAATATTTATTTGTTGCAACGCCATCTGGCGTAATGTAAAAACCAAAGTATAAACAGCAACTAATTTAATGGTCCAGCATCCATTACTATTTAGTGCATGTTCTCAGAAGCAAGAAAAAAACAATCACATATTACGTGTAAAACAATATATGCTCGCAAAATTTTAAATTTTAAATTTTTTACAACATTTAATTAAAGTTGTTTTAATTAATAATAACGTGGTAATACAGAACTACCACAGGTTAGTTGCTGTTAATATATTGGTTCTTACATTCCGCCAGATGGCGTATCGCTGGTTAATGTGTTCGCCATAGATTTTTAAATAGTGCTTTTGGTCATTGCATTTTGCATTTTTACCCAATATTTACTAATTTTTATTGTGAATGTGCCATTTGAATGACAACCAACTGTCACTTTTACTATTCTGAACGTACACAGAGCGCTTATCAAACTGTCATTTACTTTTGCCGGGTAAGGACGCAAAAGATGATGTTCGGCTTCGATATTTGATTTCGTATAATAGTGAAAATATAACAAATTAAAATGTCGGGGCGTCGAATTGAGATGTGGAAATTGTTATATAATTTAGTTGGACAAGATGAAATGCAACTTAACAATATTTTTGATTCTGTGTCCGAAATATTCTGTAATGAGCCTAGCCTTTTACAGTCGTATTCATTGAATAAACAAAATAATGTATTTCAAGATACATTCATTCAATGGTTAATAAATAAGCTCACAAAGTACTTAATTGAGGATAATTCTGATTAGTAAGTATATGACTTATATAGTAAAGTGGATTTATAATTAATTATATTTAATCAACAGTGTGTACAGAAAGAATATCAAATTGCAGGAAAAGCTATTATCAACTTGCTTTAGAATTCGTCCCATGTTATTTAAAACATTAATTAATTGCTATTTCGATGCTGTCAATGTATTGGCAATGAAGGCGCCAAAGAACAACGCTGTTGTTGAGAGTGAAAGCGTCCCGCCTGTTGAATTGAATTCCTTTACAGCAACGGCGGATGTGATGTATGAGACTATACCCGATTTTGGTTTTGATGAAATACGTGTGCCGTATGAGAAAATTGAAAATTGCATACAAGCTCATTTGCTTATACTTCGCAGTGCTGTGAAAACGGGTTGCTCAGTTTATACAGCGGATTTTGTAATTGGCTTGGGCAAAATGGATAATGTCATTTTGGATTGTAGCTTCAAGAACAAATTATTGGCATTGCATTATGCTCAAGCATTGTGTGAGTTTAACAATTATTCGGTGAAATCAAGTCTGCCAAACATCTATCATCCATTGCTATGTGCTGTGGCCAGTATATGGGAGGTATTTCCCTACTGGTTAAGTAATCAGATGTTAACTGTAGCAAATGTTGAAGATCTCATTGATAGTACAATTTTCATTATAAACGATATAGTTAATTCAATACAGACCAGGGAATTTAAGTATAAGATATTGCAAATTGGAATACATGTAATGATTTTTATAATTCACGTACAAATTTACAAACAACCGGTAATAACACAAGTCGATGATGAAAAGTTTCGTACTTTAAATTTGGCACTAGTGAACTTTGGTTGTACGCTTCAAGTCGAGTGTGGTCAAGCCACGTATTTGCAGAATAATATCTTGCTAACAATTAATGCTTTTGTTGACATTTGTCCAGAGATGATACGCTTTTTAATTATATTGCTTTGTAGCTATGATCCACCTGAAACTACATCGGCGGTGTTTATGATATTTAATAAATTTACAGATATATTTAAAAGTTCTCTAATGAATACCGAGGAGTTGAAGTTGATGGAGGAGTTACTTGTTGCCTTAATATACTTGGAACGACAAGGTTGCAAGTCAAAGCAAAATAAAATACTTGGTCGCAAATTAACATTGAAATCGTTGCAAGAATTACACATTGAATTTAACGCAAATATGTTTGCAAAATTACCTAAACCTAAAGTGAAAATCTTCGGCAAAGACTTCACAGTATATTTCCAAAAGATATTATCGTTGAAAAAACTCGAAACTACAGCCGAACACATCAAAGTATTGGGTTTAATATTAGAAAGTTCAACATTGCGCACCTTTTGCAATCAACAATTAGTGCAGAAATGCATTAATTTCATGTATTGGTTTTTAAATCAATGTTTAAATAGCAGTCCAGAACAGGAGCCAACTCGTTACAATTGTGTAGATAAGGTATTTGATACTTTTTGCAAGATTTCTGTCAAAGGATCCAAAGAAGTTGAGACATTAATGCAGAAGCGCGTGAAAGAAATTGCCGAGAATTCATTCTGTTCAGCGCAAACTAATGACTTGAGTAAAAAGTTATGTAAAGTTTTTAGTCAGAATTTGATCAACTTAGTCAGAAACAATATTGTTTCGCGCAAAGATATTAACTACAAATATCTAGAGTACGCAAAAGACAAGCCAGAAGCGCTTGAAATTATGTTGAAAGTACTTGTGTGCACTGCAGACCTCAGTAAATGTTTTCCTCTACTGATTTGCCCATATACGGCAAATCAAGATATGCGTAAGACAGAGTCTCTCGATTACAAACATATGCATACAATATGTACGAAATGCACTGAAAATACTCTCGTTCATATTACTAGTTATATCAAAGAAAATAATGCTATTGTACTAAAATGGCATGCGGATATTCCTGAGAAATATCGGCTTGTGTTAAGCAAGGGTTTGCAAATGGTTATATTTGATGCGCTAGTGAAGAGCCCCGATTTGTTGTTGATTGGAAATCACTTCCAGCTTTCTGCACTTAGTGAAGTCAATTTCATTACTGAGCTTACAAAAGAATCTCTTTTGATGGATTTAAATACAATTGGCCTCTTTAAAATCTTAACAAAGTTAATAGCTCATGAAACAAACGTAGTATCTGAAACAGACTTTTTGGGCCAGTTTGGACCATTTTTACTTAAGCAAACAATAAACTCTTTGCGTGCAACAAATAACAAGAAACAAATTCAAATATTACAAATTATTGGCTGTGTTGCAAATAGCTCAATTAAACTTGAGTGGTTATTTCATTTTTTTAAAATGTCCATGCTTTTTATGGTGCACGCAAACTCAACTATTGTGCATGAAGCTATTTTAAAAGCAACGGAGATGTGTGCCTACCAGGACATAGAACCGATACATTTATGGAGTTGGTATAAACGTGATGCATTGAATTTGGTTGTGAGATTGGCTGCTTACAATTTCTTAACATTAGGCGTACGTTTGACAAAGTCTGTAAACGCTGTAAGTACATATTTCATTTGTTGTATAAATAAATATAAATATTATTTGATGTGTATGGGGAAGACGATGAGAGTGCCTATCATTTACTCAGCCTTTGCCTAGCACATGCACGGCGGCAACTCAACATTTTGTGAGCCTCCTTTGTTGAGAATCTTGATCAATTATAAGAGCTCCCACTAAACAACATTCTGAGCTTCGCCAAAGGTTCTAGGTGATTTTAAACCCTGAGTTTTCCTCTATATAAGGTATCACAATAGTCCAATAGGCCTAAGTGGATCCCCAAGGGATCGCCGGTATAAAATAACCTAACCTTTGTTGTAAATATATATATATACTTTTTATGTGAGATTTATGTGAGATATATATATATACTTTTTATTTGTTGTATATATATTTATATACTTTTTATTTGTTGTATATATATGTATATACTTTTTATTTGTTGTATATATATATCAACTTTTTATTTGTTGTGTATATATAAATATATTATTTGTTGTGTATATATAAATATTTTATTTGTTGTGTATATATTAATATTTTATTTGTTGTATATATACAAATATTTTATTTGTTGTATATATACAAATATATTCTTTGTTATATATATATCTACATATATTCCTTGTTATGTATATATAAATATTTTATTTGATGTATATATATGTATATATATTATTTGTTGTATATATATGTACATATTTTTGAACAAACTAATAATAACTTTTTAAATTAGTTTAAAAAATGATATTTTATTGTTATTTCGACTATAGTCTATAGTCATCTTCAGGATACTGATATAGTTTAAATTTTTAATAATTTGCTGTATATTATATATAATTTTTATAATAATACTTTTACTATTATTTATAGGTTACTAAAATGCTTGGATTTTCATGTGCAGCAGAATTTATATGTAAATATCACCGGTTGTTAACCACTTTTATTCTTCCGCTGTGTATTAAGGAACCAAGATGTAAAGGATTGATAGTACAAATATCAATAGTTACACAAAAACCGATAGATAAATTATTTTTCACTTCATTTCTACGTATTTACTCGCATATTTATCTTACGGAGGATGAGATTGTAGTTAATAAATGTGTGGACTTAATTGTCAAATGCACTGGTTCCAGCTTGCAGACATTAATGAACACAGATGTTAAGGTAAGATATTTAGTTTTTTTTTAAAATTATAGCTTTAATTTGTCTGGTGTGGTTTGTTTTTGCATAACAAGTTCTTCTGCATGAGGTGAAGATCTAATTATCAGGAAACGTTAAAAGAATATACAAGATAAATATATTTAGTCTTGTTGTTCTTTAAAGAAAACTGCTTAAATAAAAATAAGATAAATGGATAGAATCGTCATGTAAAATGGGGTAGGGTGTCAATAGCTGGTCATTAAAATAAGATAATCATGAGCAGTGCAACTGCATTCGGAGCATACATTGGATCAATTAAATTTGTAAATTATGTTGATTTAGTATGTAGTTCAAACATACTTTGTATCATTGAATTGGTTCAACATTTTTTTAAAGCCACGACATGATATTGTGGTTGCAATAAAACTAAAAAGTTGTTGTTGTTGTAACCCGCTGGGATCTAGAAAGGATTTACTAAATGGATAAACAGGTTAGGAGGTGAATGGATATAATGGTTGAATGGGAATGGATTGAAGATATTTGGAATTTAAATTGAAATCAACCTGAGACAAGAGGGAGAAACCTGACTACTTTAATGGGATGGGTCCAAAGGTCGATTAGACTACAGTCTGTGTACAGTGGGAAAAGAAAAGAGATGAGTGACGTTATAGGGGGTAGAATTATAGTTTAGGCACGCGTTAAAAACAGACGTGTTTACGCGTGATAAATAACTCTTTAGCATATAGATGTGTCATGATCTCAATTGAACTAGGACAGTTCTTGCCGCACAGAGCAGTCGACGTTTTTCATGAAGAACCTTGTTGTAGAACAACCTTAGTTTCGAAGAGAGTATTCTTTCATCTGTGTGTATAAGTCCAAGTTTATAGTCGACCTCACTATATGATATATATGAGAAAGAACGGCCGGCTCTATGTTCCGGATTCACTCGTCAACCACAACGATCAAGTGCCGTTCACCAAATGGACTTTACAAGCAGGTATATATTTGTATTGATAGTTGGCATATATATAGTATATGTAATCACCGACGAGAGTTTGTAAGTGCGCGAAGTCACTAATTGTTATGAAGAAAACAAAAAAACTTAATATAAATAAATGAATTTATTAATAAATACTTACTAATTTTATTAAAAAATTACTATTAGTTATATTACTTATAAAAATATACTACAAGAATTCTCTTTTCTTTCAGCAAACGGTGTCGGAGTTTCTTATATACTTCAATCGCAATCCGCAGTTCGTAATGAAAGCGTTCCAGTGTCTTTTATTTCCCGATACTGTCCCATCACAAAGTCACAGCAGTTCATCTTCGAGTTTATCCCTGTTACATACATCAAATAACGAATTTGCTAAATTTATTGCTGATCGTTTTCTAGGCGTGTTAACATATTTCGAAACTTGTATCTCAGATTCTAATTTCGAAAAGCCCTTGAAAGAGGAGTCACTGTACAGTTTGGGACAGATTATACGTTTTGTTGGATCCAGTAATGTTACACAATTCCGTTTTAAAATCATAGCTATGCTGTGTTTTGTGCTATCACTGAGTGATAAAAAATTGCAAACTATTTGTCTTAAAGTGTGGAAAATATTCATTCATAATGTAAATATTGAACAGCTTGGACCTTCGCTTAGTCATATCTGTGCTTCACTGCAGCCGCTATTACAGACTAATAAGAACGAAGTGAACGCTATATATGAGTTCATTTTAAAGAATGACAGTTTGCTGGGTGCATATATACCAGATTTATACTTTATGGAAGATACTGAATTTGTCAGTACTGCTGTGCGTCAGTGCATTAGTCGTCAAACTGAAGCTCTGAAAACAGATAAAACTACATTCATTGAAAAAGTACAGTTCTATTACAAGCAACTATCTAATGAAAACCTGCTAGTACGTATTCAGGCCTTAATAAGTTTACGGAAATTTTTATCTAACAATCGTCAAAAAGTCAATGATATGGTTTTGAGTGAAATTTGTGTTAATCCTTTGATCGTGAAGATCGTTGATATTTTAATAGCAGGATGCCGACATGAGGATAATCATTTGCAATTATTATCTGGAAAATGTTTATCAGAACTTGGTGCTATCGATCCCAGTTATTTATGTGCAGATTATACATTTCAACAAACAAATGAAATATCTTTAAGTATACATACCGATAGTTTTGCTATAATGGCTTTGACACAGTTATGCCGATCTTATCAATTCCAAAAAAATACTAAATATGTGGACAACTTTTCGTTGGCAATACAAGAAACTTTATCGGTGTGTGGAGTTTCACCGAATGAAGGTAAAAAGTTGAATGTTTGGGAAGCGTTACCGTTACGTATGCGCCAAGTAATGGGACCCTTGTTATCATCTTGCTACATTAATAGAAGTCGTGACAATCAGATTAAACAACATCCCTTATTCAATAGTCATTACTGTCGCTCCTATGAGGATTGGGCTTTTCTCTGGGTATCAAGATTGATTGGATTTTTACGGAGTGACGATACAAAGCATTTACTCAGCTGTTATATACCTAGTATGAGGCGTGATCTTAACACACTCGTTTTATTTTTTCCATATGTTCTATTGCATGCTTTGCAGGAATGCAATCCAGATGAAACGAAACAAATCTATGAAGAATTTGAAGTGATTTTTCGTTTTTGTTATAGCGGTCTAAGCATACAAACACTTTGTGATGTAAATGGTATTAAGGAATTTTACTCAACTAAATATTCGGCAAGTTGTTCACGAGATTCACAAAAAACTTTGAGATCATTGGTACAGTACGAACCGCTAGAAAATATCGCTCAAATGTCTACAAAGTTGTGCTCCGAATTAATTGATTTTCTGCAGCGTTGGTTGCGTGAATGGCAGCGTACGAATCAAGTTAATGGCGATGTCAATCATTCTGCAGGACACAATCAAATCATAGAAGCATTTATTGCAAGATTTGATAAACATTTAATATCAAAAGCAAATTACACTTGCGGTGAATTTGCTCGCGCACTATTTTATTTAGAACAGCACATTGAGGAAGAGCCAGAAGCACGCTTGCAAGAGCAAATACCACTCCTTATTGAAATCTATGGTAGTTTAATGGATGCAGACTCAGTAGAAGGTGCGGTTTTTATGAAAAAAACGAGCCTAAGCTTGTCGGAAGAAATTCTGTTCAATAGAATCGTAGACAGACCTCAAGAATTAATGACTTGTTACGAGCAAATATTATCGGATGAAAGTCAACTCAATGAGGAGCATATAAGAGGCATGATTAATTGTTACTTGCGCGTAGATACGCCTGAAACAGCTTTACTAGTTGCAGATGGTCTCTGGCATAAACTGTGCGATCACTATACCGATGATTTCTTTAAAGAGTGTAAAGTTGATATTCTTTGGCGTTTAGGTAGTTATGATGAGTTAGAAAAATTATTGGAAGATAGTGTTGTGCGTCGCAAAACTACAAATTGGAACATACAATGTGCTGAAACATTCTTGCTATATCGACAGCCTAATGAGGCACAAAAGTATCCATTGAAGGAATTCATGGAACGATTAGATTACATACGCAGCAATGTGCTATCGAATATGCGTACTTGTTCGGGTGTGAAACAAAACTCGTATCCATTTTTGTATGACGAGGTTGTTAAACTTCATTTGTTGAATGAAGTTGAAAAAAGCAAAATGTTTGTTGATCAAATAACAACTGTTTTAACTAGATACACAGACGACGAATATCAAAATTGCATAGATAAAGTACGCCTTTTCTTTGATGACTGGGAGGCTCGACTGTGTGTAATGCCTTCTACTATTCGCATTATGGAACCTGTTATTTGCTTTCGTCGTAACTTGTTAATTGAGTCAAAAAGACAGATGTATGAAAGTGTTTCGAAGCAAACCGCTTCCAAAGCGATTTTAGAAGAGATAAACGGTATTATGGATGAAGAAATTGGAAAATTATGGATTCGCAGTGTGCAAATGAATCGTGATGGTAATTGTTTACAACAAGCACAACAGTCCATAATGAAAGCGATAAAATATCAGCCGAAGACACTATTCATTGAGAAGGCAAAGTTGTATTGGCAAAAAGGGGACCAGACCCATTCGTTCAAAGTGCTTGTAGAATATTTACAATTTATTGAACAGAAGTGTAACAAAAACCTAAGGAATTTGGATCCAAGTGAAAGAATTTTATATGCGGAGGCTAAGTTCTTACAAGCAACTTATAATGCTGCATCTATGAACATTTGCTCAGAGCAAAATATAAAGTTTTTCAGAGAGGCAATATCTGGAAATCGTCATTCAGAAAAGTGTTATGCGCATTTGGCACAATATTTGGAAAAAATTACTGAATCATTCAAACGTGAACAAGTTGACAGTGAAGAGAATTGCAAGTTACTCTACGAAATTATGATCAATTATGCCAAATCCTTGAAATATGGATTTGAATATATATATCAGTCCTTACCACGATTACTTAGTATTTGGCTTGATACTACGTCGCGTAGTGTTTCAATTGATGAAGCACTACCAACAAATCCAAGTCTAAAAACTGTCGCCTCACGTTACACAGATATTTCAAACAAAATGAATGAACTGATTAATGGGTGTGTTAATATACTACCGACTTCTGTTTTCTACACTGCATTTTCGCAGATTTTAAGTCGTTTATGTCATCCATCCATGGAGGTCTTTAAAGCTATACGTACCATTATTATAAAACTAATAACAAGTTTTCCGCAACAATCGTTATGGATGTTGTTACCAACAATTAAGTCATCTCATACCTTGCGTCTGAAACGTTGCCAAATGATACTTAAAGATAATCGACTTAACGATTCATCTTTTCATAAGTTATTAAATGACTTTAGTACGTTAGTGGAGCGTTTAATAGAGTTAACTAATAAGGAGGTGCCATTAAATCAGACACATGAATTGAATACATTCGTAAACCAATTGTCTAAACTGTTTGAAGGCGCAAATTTTTCCGAAGTACTATTGCCCTTCGAAAAATATATGCAACCTTCTCTGCCTATAACAGCAACTTCGACTTCATATACTCTTCAGTTGCCCAATTCAGGAAGTAGCGAAAAAAATACACCTACGAATGCTATACCTACAAATCCTTTCCCTTACACACAGATTTACATATGCAGCATCAAAGATAATGTGACGGTATTACGATCTGCAGCCAGACCTAAGAAAATTAGTTTCAAATGCAGTGATGGCAAATGCTACGATGTTATGTTAAAGCCAAAGGATGATTTACGGAAAGATTTTCGTTTGATGGAGTTTAATGGTTTAGTAAAACGTTATCTGCATCAAGAACCACAGGTTAATAATAATCTTGCATTATCTTATATTCTCTTAAATTATCTTATATTATATTATCTTATATTATCTTATCTTATATTATTTTACATTATATTTCTTTGTTTATCTTACATTACTATCTACTACAGGCACGTCAACGTCGTTTACGTATTCGCACCTATGCTGTTATACCGTTTAACGAAGAGTGTGGTTTGGTAGAGTGGTTGCCAAATCTACACTCATTCCGTGCGATTTGTAGTTCCTTTTATCGCAGTCGTGGTCTTGGTATACCGGATAACGCTTTGCGGCAATATGGATTGCCTAGAACAGACCCAATCGAAAAGAAGCGCAATATATTCCTTAATACGCTAGTAGCAAAACATCCACCAGTGTTTCATGAGTGGTTCCGTCAGCGTTTTGTAACCCCACAAAGTTGGTATGAAGCGCGTTCTTCATATGTAAAAACTATTGCTGTTATGTCCATGGTCGGCTATATATTAGGTCTTGGCGATCGTCATGGTGAAAATGTGCTTTTCGATGAGACAAATGGAGATGCAGTACACGTTGATTTTAACTGTCTTTTCAATCAGGGAGAAACGTTTGCCATTCCGGAATTAGTGCCTTTCCGTTTAACACAAAATATGGTATTCGCAATGGGTCCGCTGGGCATTGAAGGCATGTTTAGAAAGTGTGCTGAAATTGCGCTGCGCGTGTTAAAGCAGGAATCCGAAACTTTAATGTCAGTATTGCGTCCATTTGTATATGATTTAATAGTTTTAAATCGAAATGTAAATAAAAAAGTTGCTGAGCTAACAGATCCAAAAGCTACCCTGGATGTTAAACGCATTGAGGAGCGTTTGAAAGGATATGTAAGTGTTATCTACAGTGTGTTTAGAGTTTATAGATAATAATGTTTATTAAATAAATTATTTCTTTAGGTAAAAAAAAATTTATGTACGAATCAAATTAACCACATGCCACTCTCTGTGGAGGGTCAGGTTAGTTTCCTGATTTCAGAAGCCATGGATATAGACAACCTTGCATCTATGTACATCGGATGGGGTGCTTATTTGTAATATAAGCATTAAAATAAAACATCACATTTACATCATTATTATCATTTAAACATTTTAAGTTACTTTTATATATTTAGTATCTTATCTGAAATAGTACAAATACGCTTAAAATAATAATTACTTAATTATTAACGTATCAAAAACATTTGTGATCGAATTATTTAATAAAAATATATAATTAAGAACATTAGGTAATTTATTTCAATTATAAACTTAATAGTTATTAATACAAATTAATATTGATTAACAAGAATAGTCATTAATACTAATATTACTTGAGGGACATGCTTGGTGGCTTGATAGTGGAAGTCATTTGTAATTATGTTCTAGTCAGACCAGGAATTAAAGTAACATTTGACAATTCTTGCTGAACAGGATAGAAAATAATTATAATTAACAACACAACATTTAATTTGATAATAATAATAAATATTAATAATAATATATATTGATAATAATATATATTGATAATAATATATATCAATAATAATATATTAATAATAATATATATTAATAATAATATATATTAATAATAATATATATTAATAATAATATATATTAATTATGATATATATTAATTATGATATATATTAATAATAATATATATTAATAATAATATATATTAATAATAATATATATTAATAATAATATATATTAATAATAATATATATTAATTATAATATATATTAATAATAATATATATTAATAATAATGTATGTTAATAATAATAATACATATTAACAATAATATATATTAATAATAATAATATATATTAATAATAATAATATATATTAATAATAATAATATATATTAACAATAATATATTTCCTTTATTCTGAATAAACTGAATTGGAATTGATAAAAATTGTCGACTTTTGGAAATAGAGGAACTCAAACTTCAGTTAAAACACTAATAATTCCAACGTTGTTATATGAATAAATACAATATATTAATTTATTTTAATTTAATAATAATAAAATAATAATAATTTTAATTAATTTAATAATTTTAAAATTATGTAAATATTTAAATAAAAAAAAAAGAATCCTAATTCAAAATAAATAAAATAAATTATGAATTGCATTCAATTGTATTTTTAAAAATACAAATTTTTCAATTATTCAAAGGGATTGTTTCAATCCCTGCTTCTGCCAGCCACAGACGAAATCTAATTTATGACAATTTTTTGTGACATTCAATTAGAATTTGGGCTCATATATTCTCAGCAGTCATGTCACTATTGACATGACTCCTATATTCCAAATGTAGAACCTCTGACTTGGTATAAAGAAGGTGAGTGGAAGTATCTAGGCCTGTCCTAATGAGATAATAGCTAGAGTTATTGCGCGCACCACTCTTTAGCATACTCAACTATATTTACAATGTTAGTATTAGCCAGATATTGCATTATTAATTCGTCCAGTTGATTCTAATATGTCAATTCTTCTCATAATTACGAGAAATGAGGAATCAAAATGGATTTCTTATGTCATTGAGGAAGATTGCTTACTCCTTCTAACTCATCTATCTTTAATCTATTTATTTTGGAATATTTTACATACAAAGAGTTGACGCTCCTATTTTGCGATTTGACTATTTGAAGGAAAAATAAATATAGCGCGTAGATATTTATTTGATAGGACTCTCAAGTTTTTAACGTCATTAAACTATTGAAAGAAAATAGCTGATTCAGTTGAAAAGAGACTTCCCTCCTCAGTGAAACAGATTTCATGTTACTCACTGGTTACAGGTTATTATCTTACCCGGTTATCTTAGCCTGCAACAAATTAGATTTATTAGAGACGGCTAGAAACTGTCTCTGCATAGAAGTAGTTGTGATTGTGGCAGCTGTACACTAACCCCAAGACTTTTAGCCATATTCTTTGTCATTTCAGTCAGAAGTAAAATACTGGACTACGATTAATAGTTCTTACCACTGGAGTGTGTATTATTGAAAAGCCCTCAATAAGAAGTGTTTTGGTCTTCACTCTAAAGGTTTAATTTTTTTTGAAGAATTCTTTTATATTTCAATTCTAATTATGATTTTAATTCTATAACCAATTCCCGACTTATTACAAAGTGTTAAGAGGGTCTTTTATCATTTTGTTGCAGTTTTAAAGAAGATAACTGTCATTTGTCGTTGCCAATAACATTCAGTTTAACAGTTTACTAGACCATACATATCATTCTTCGGGTTCCATACATATAATTGTGCAGGTACCAAACATATCACTAAGATATCAAATTTCCGTTGAAGTTTTCCCATTATTCTTCTTTAAGTTCTGTTGTTGCAGTTCAAATCTTCACATTCATGAATAAGTTTGGTTTGCATTTTATTTGAATAGTGCAGCTTTGATCATTTTACAATCTTTTGGGATTAACTATAGGTAACACGTCAAGAACTTTTTCGTTATCTTCAATATTTTTTCTTTATTTCGGGGCTACATTTTTTTTACTACTGCATTATAATTATTACTATTAATATGTGTATGACAATTATGGAGATGGGAAGTGATAATAAAGATTTATTTAGATATATGACATAAATCTGCATCCATTGAAATAATATTGGGGAGACTTACTTCACCATCTTTAGTACAATACAATATTTAAATGAAGTTGTATGTTACAGCCAATGGCCATCTCCAAACAATAAAACGAAATAAAATATCTTAGGTTAGAACTGACATTTATATATGTAGATGGTGTCGTAGGTATTTCACAAAACAAAAAAAAAACTAGCTTGCAAAGATATATATATATATATATATATATATATATGTTCTGGATCCATTGCGATAATATTAGGGACACCTACTTCATTCGCTCTAGCAAACGATTTAATTTAAAAGAAAAACCTTATGTTTTTACGGAGTTAATACAAGTGTAGGCTTGTGGAATATAATTACTTTTCGTTATACTTTAGATTAAGTCTTATTTCTTGAAGTCTTGGAATAAGTGAACATAAATCGTAAGATGCACGGAACTTACAGTTCTATTTCACTGATTTGATTTGTAAGTGCCTAACTTAGAAATTTCTTAAAGTATAAAAGTTCTGGATCCATTGAGATAATATTGGTGGAACTTACTTTACGATTTAGTTTCAATGAGATACCTTATGTTTTCAATGAGAAATCTTATGTTTTTATGGAGTTAATGATATGTGTTGATTTATAGAACATTTTTGTTTGATATAACACTTTAGATTTTCTTAAGTATTATACGATTAAGGACTTTGGCAAATTCAAGAGTTTCTATTGAATATATATTCTATTGATTTCTGGAATAAGTGAACATTGAAGATGCAGAGTACTTATAAATAAATTTTATTGATATAATTTCTTATTGCCTAGCTCAGTAATATCTCAAAGTATAAGAGTTTTAAGAAATACGCTCTTTACCTGGAGAATACGTGTTTACTTTCTGGTTCTAACTATGTTAAATTCTGGGTTGCTACAATTATTTTATTGTTTTTCTTCACAACGTTCTTCAATCCTCTTCTTCATATATATGATTAATTTTTGTGACTTCTATTCCGGTTCGTAGCCGAAAATGCACTTGGAGGAATGGGAGTGATGGAAGTGTTAATATTAAAAATGCCTAGATATAAATATAGCTACTCAATTCAATGGAAATAGTGCGTGGTTTTCAGCCCATCAAGCCCTCCCCCTGTTGACATGCTTGCTTTCATTATATTTTGTTGATAGGTTCTAATATACTAAATTGTCATGGGTAAGTGGGTTAATAATGAACATACATAATCCATTTATAAATATAGTTACTCAATTTAATGTGGGTGGCGAGTGATCAAGTCCCTCTCTCTTGTTACTGCCTGCTCCCATTATATTTATTTAATACGTTCTTATATATTACCTTTTATTCGTTAAGTTTTTCTATATTACATATTGTCATTCTTTGCTTAGACTTTCTGTAGATATCTATTCTCTCAGGTTTTTAATAAAATTTTTTCTTATAGGTACTCCTGCTGTGGTCCCATGTGGATAGACCACAGAATAGATCACGAAGAATAGAAGAATGCATGTTTATATTTCAAAAGCTAAAATATGTTTTTATATTGTTGGCACTTTCTATCACAAGTTCTGTTGTTGTTGTTGCAGTTGTAGCAATAGTTGTTGTTTTTGTTTATGTAGTCGTTGTAGTAATCAGCGTAATCAGTTAAAATATGTTGGCAACATTGTAGGTGAGTTGAGTTCTTTTATTGCCCGTTTTCGCTATGGATTGTTTTATTTTTCCTGTTGTGAAACGAAATTTGTAGATGCAATTGACTTTTTCAATTGTTGTTCTTGTTGGTTATTTGTTGTTGTTGTTGCGATTGTTGGTTTTGTTTTATTTGTTGTCCTTGTCATTAGTTTGTTTATTTGTTTGGTTGCAATGGTTGCTTACATGCTGATTTTAGTTTTGGTTCGAAAGTATGTAAGCTCACCTTAATTTTCATGTCTAACCATAGTTTACAAGCTCAGGCAGACAGACGGTATACAAATGTAGCAGTCATAGAGCGAAGCGATTGGTTCTGCTACCAATTCCGGGTACAACCCAGGAATCATACTGAACCTCATGTATTTGCCACTGTTTCGCGTATTTTATTTTGCTACCGTTTGGTCACGTTCAGAAATTTTTGTCAACACAATCTGCGAATTCATCGCTGCAGCCGCAAACACGGCACGGCATGGTTATTCGCTTCATTCCATTTCGCACTGCTTCGGATTTAGATTTGTGAGGCAGATGTTGGAGGAGCACCGCCAAGGCAATGCCTGCATTACTATTTCCATGCATTTGTAATATTTTGTTTTTGTTTTTTGGCTTGTAATGCTATCGCTGTTATTCCAAAAACTGCTGCAATTCCTATTCCTATTCCTAAAGCTTAAGCTAGCTGCCTCTGCGTTTGCCACTCGTGGATGTTGTTGGCGGTGTTGCTGCTTCTCGTGGATGTTATTGTTGTTGCTGTTGTTGGTTCTTATAGCTGTTGGTTTCAATATCGCCGCTACTGTGGCTTTGTGCTTTGCCTTGTTTTAGCATAAATTTCTATTGTTTAACTTGCATTCGATTACGATTTCAATTTACCGATTTAGCTATGCTTAAGCTTAGGTATAACAATAACTCCAACAACAGCAGCAACAATAACTTCAACAACAACACCAACAACAACAACAACAAACGATAAAATAAATTTTAAAATTGTAGCAATTTGGTTAATGTTGCAAACAGGAACAATTTTCTTTTTGACGCCTGATAGTACCCGATTGGAGAGATATCTTATGGAATTTGTAATATGAATTTTTCGTTTTTATTTATTGTTTTGCATAATATTAGAATTTTTTCTATAGCTAAATATTTCACAGATATCTTTGGCATATATTATATTTTATACTAGTTTAATTTATTGGCCAGAAAATTACAATTGTAAAATAGAAGTACGAGTAAAATTGGTTTACATAGAAGTACCATTTGGATCCATGCAGAATTATGAGCAATTTTATTAAAACAATAGTAAATACAAATAAATTGTGGGATGATAATTTACTCCATAAATGGATGAAATTGACATCGTAAATATTTAAAGTAATTATTAGATTAACAAGATTTACAAGAGATTTATAGGAACCGAGTTCGAATACTTGCAGTCTCAAAAATAATTATTTACGAATTATTAAATACAAGAATTATTTCCAAGACCACTGATGATGGGTATTTGGCAATACTCGAAACTGTTGTTGTAGTTCACTACTGTTCGAAAAAACCTCTTCAAGAGATTTATTAAAAAGAGATTAAATCATTATAGAACACCTCATAAGGGTAGGGATATGAGATTGAATTCATTACTATTGTAGATAGTCAGGATATTCTTGCATATACTTGTAGTACTTTATAGAAAAAATTGATTAGGTACATTTATATACATATATATTTTTTTTTATATAGTAGGTGGAAAGTATCGGAAGCCACACTATGAGACTTGAACCCACTAAGACCACTTCTTAAAAATGAGTTTGAAGACCTCAGTCGTCAGACTTGAAACTCATCTGGCTGAGATAAGCTTTTTTTAAGTTTTTAAGTTTTTTTTATATATCAGGAATATGCATAAGTTTTTTTTTGGTTTAACCAAAAGATGTCGTCTTCGAAAAGTACGCAGAGTATTAATCTGACACATATCTACATCAAATTTAAAAAAAACATTTGCGGCAAGTATTGCTATTATTATTTAATCGGAAAAAAGGCTATTGGAGATGAATACGCTAGAAGTTAGTAATAAATAAAAACGTTTGCCCTATCAGAACTTGTGTTTGGATTTTCAGTTTTTATATGAACTGCAACATAATCTTCGGCATTTTAAATATTAATTGGTAAAGATAATAAATATTTTGCTGGCTTGAAGTGGGTTTTAATTCCTTGAAATTCACGAAGTGCGAGACAAGTCACTTGAAACAGTAGTGGGACCTGGGCGCAGCTCACACCGATAGAAGTCTTAAATGACTAATAGGGACTCTAACCCGGAGTAACGCTAACGTAGTTCTGAGGTAGGATAAGGTCTCTAAGAATGAATGGGAGGGGCTAAGTTTGTGCGAGTCGGGTACTCTCTGCACTCCACCGATTAAAAAAAATTGATTGAATTTTTATACATATTTTAATAAGCACATAGACATTATATCATCACAAAAATATACTAAATATAATGAAACTTTTATTTGAAATGCTCTAATAAAATTTATTAAGTGTTTATAACTAAAAACTAAACTCTAAAAACTCTACAAAAAACATTTAAAAATAAAATAAAATGTATTAATTAATCCAAAATTTTCATCTGATCAAATTCGATTAGAGTGTATTTCATCATCTCTTCCAAGCGTTTTGAGCTGAACATTTGCTTAAGTCTCGTTTTCGCGAATTCCTCATCATTAAAACTGTCCAAAGAGTTATCGGCTGATATATCCTTATCCATTGATATTGTTGGATAAATACCGAATTGAGCAAAGAATCCATAAGGCGTTCGTTTTTTAACTTCTTGTTTTATTTGTTGATAACTGGGAATATTCAAATAATTTAATTTTTGCAGTGTAGAACAAAGTGAGCTATGGTATGCCATCAGTAGTTCTTCACGTTTATGTTTTAGAACATCTAAACGTAAACTTGTGTAGAAAAAATAATTTAAATCAATTCCTGGACTGCTCCAAATGCTCATTTGCAGATCAATAAAAGCGATATCTTGTGGCGTACGTTGTTTATCATACTTGAAAAGCATATTATTTACCCATAAATCACCATGATTGAGAACTTTGATTTCATTTGGTATAGGGTCTTGACAACGACTAAGGTTATCTCTTAAATTAGCTACATATGTTTTAAGTTTTTGTGTAATTTTTTCGTAACCTTGCCATTGACTAACAGCATCAACTAAAGCTTCTGCTTCACCACCAAAATAACGCAATAACATCGAGTTTTCACGATCTATAGCACTGCGTCCTAACAGACCACTATGGAAGCTTTCCATAATTTCTGGATCCTATTGGAAAAATAGTACCCAATATTAGTTATCAATTCATTTATTTAATAGATGTTTATATAACTTTTACAAATATATTTAATATTATTCACCTTTTTAGCCAACACCATAGATGTTGCATGAAATTGTGCAAGTTTTTGTAATACGAGACGAGCATGTGCTACATCTAAGCCCGATTCTCTTGATGCGACTTCGAAACCTTTGTCACATAGATCTTCGAAAACTAGAGTTTTAATTGGTTCCTTAAGGCTAAAATATAATCTGAAATAAAAAAAAAAAGTTTAGTATTCGCAATATAATTGAAAAATTGGATCTTGAGATGGTATACTTATCATCACGAATCTAAATCGTCAAAAACGTAACCGTAAACTATTAATGCTGTGAACTAAAGTGCCAATTAAATAATCTAACAGCTATTAGAATGCAGAACAAAAATAATCTAAAACTGCTAAAGCCACGTTAAGATCGTTGAAGAGTTATGCTCACGGCCCGATAGTCGTTGTTCTAAGTTGGATGGTTTGTTATAAGTACTTATCGCAAAGTGAAACAGTAATCAAACTGTCTTGGCGTTATGCAGAATTTTGAAGAGAGTATATATGTGCATATAAAGAGTATAAAGTAAAATTCCAGTTTTGTGATGGGACAAGAGCTAAATTTTGCATCACGCTGATGATTACAAAGAACTTAACAAGTATCATAGTTTTCCTATTTTTTTGTTTTTATATCTCAACATCAATATACCTAAGTGGTATATTAATAACTTTTCTGTCTGTTGACAACCATTTCAGTTGGAACTTAGCGCTCTTTCAAAATCTACTTGAAATCGGTAGCTAATAGAAAAGAGTAAGAGGAGGCTGAAGACTACTCCGAAATCTGTTTAGAACTGGATTCTCATAGGGAACATTTTTTTTTGTGCTAGTAACAGTTGTGTATCTTTGTGCTATTTTAAAATAAAATATTTTAAAATATAAAATAAAACAAATTTAAATCTTTAAGTCTCATGGTAATGTAAACGTAACTAAAAACATTTCAGAGTTAAGTTGCCGCTAGTATGAATAAGCCCTGTAATGTATTGGTTGATTGTTGACAGATCTGTATTGCTTCAGAAAAAAAGAAGTCAGAAGGCGATATAACAATATGTTTGAATGAATATTTTGTGTTTTTATAAACTCAAAAAGTTTTTATCAATATAATAATTGTGAAAAATTGTAATTTTTTCGGACAGTCAAGCTGCCATTAAATCCCTAGCAGGCACCACAGCAGCAATTCAAGAATGCCGAGTATCCCTTAAGGAGAAAATTAGATGTGTTAGTATACAACTCACTTGGTTTCCTTGATACAGGGACATCGCGGGCAACTGTAGGAGAGACAAGACAGGTATTCTGCTTCCTGACATTCAGTTCTCAGATATTGGTATCCCACTTGTAACAGTTAAACTACCAAACAAACAAAAATATCTGAGTATTGTCAAGCAAGATTGAAGAGATGAACCGTTTTGATAGATCTCCAGGTTTTGACCTGGTTTAAACTAGATCAAAAAACGCACCAGTCAGCTGCTTTAACTAAGGCGTTACCTGCTCAGTATTACGGTATCGGCGCCGACTGGTCACTGTGTTATGAAATGGCGTCTACCTCATAATGACTTTTATGGAGGTTGTGGATTGCGGATGAAGAGAAAACTGTGTTTCAGATCATGTGTCAGTGTTTATCTTTAGCTATGAGAAGATCTAAAAACTTCGGTGTCCCTTTTTTTTACCGATATAACAAAGCTGTTATTCTGCAAAATTACAGACTTAGCCTATAAAAATAAAATCCGATTTAATCTTTCATAGAATGCACTTTCCTAATAGTTTGAGTTCGCCATTACATAGAATGCATATATAATATTTGCACATAATCATAAAACACTTTTTTTAGTTTGATATTCGAAGTTATTTACTTCAACTAATCTGCTACACATTTTGTAAAAAATTTTCATACCAACCTTGCACCCAATTTAATTAATGTATATTATTTTAATTATAATTTCATTTTGACTTTTGTGCTATTATCGTTATAGTATTATTATGTGATACGCGAGTTGCTGATTGCGGACTATTCATACCAACCTTGCACCGAATTTAGCACCATCTGGTAATAACATTTCTAGGCGTGGTAAGATGTCACGGTACATAACTTTTTCTTTGATGTAAACATCCAAGTCAATCAGGAAATCAGTGGCTTCAGTTTGTAACATACTTTTGATAATCAGAGATAAATTTTTTAACTTCTCACAGTTGTTTCCACTATAAGTGATCTGCACACGATAGATTTCACTACAATAATTTTCGCCTGTTTTACTGCCCATCGAAAAATGGATTTTGTGGATTTTGAATGTAGATTGACGTAGAGCGTTTTCGATGACATCTTCGAAAAATTTTAAATCCAAATGGGCCGGAGGTTGTGCTATATCCTTGCTGTATTCAATCTTCATTTTGAAACAGTGTTTATAGTTAGTTTTTTATTAATTTTATTTTATATATATTGTTTTGTAAATAAAATTATTAAATTTTATTATATGTTTACTTTACAACACCACTCGTTCGCGATAAACTGTAAAATTGAAATAAAAAGCCAAGTGTGTACTGTGCATACTTAAATAGCAAGTCTCAAATTCTGTAAATAATCTTAAAACCTTGTTGATTTGTCTGAATTAATTGTACGAGCGGTTCTCGTACAAGTATACATGGAGAGCGGTTCTATTGCATGTCATTCAATTTGATTGCTGAAGCGATGCCGCGCGGGTTACGCGGCGATCGAAATGCGATGTTTGTTGATGGACTTGGGAAACACGCAACTTTTTTCCGTTTTATTTTTTTTATTATATTTAATTAATATATTATTTTAATTATAATTTAATTTTGGATTCCGAGCGCGTGCGAAAAATACATTGTATCATGAGATATCATGAGATACAATGTATCATGAGTGATCTGCTGGCGGCTTCGCAAGCGCTCAGATGTCACAGCTTTAAATGAATTTGCGTTATTGTAATTTATCTTATCATTTTGTTTAAACAACAAATATAAATATATAAACCCTATGTATAATAAAAACTAATAATTAGTATCATCTCAACACGCTACATTTGTATGGATTTTGTGTCTACAATTAAATATTTTATTTATTGACAATTTTTTTCACAAATTTTGCAATTATTTTAAATGGTTAATAGATGGTAATTTAAAGATGGTTTTTTGTGTGATAATTATTGTGTTATTATAAATATTCGGTTATTTTGAATTTAAAATTAGAAATAAAAAAAAATAAAATAAGTAGAAAAAAAGATTGAATCATAAATACAATATATAATATAATTTTGAATATAAATTGTATATTCAAAATATTTGTAAAGAAAAATAATTAAAAAATTTAATATGTTTTTAAAGGTTCAAATAGTAATGAAAGACCACAACAAAAATTTTAGTTAATTTATTGAAAGTTGCTTGACTATACAACGCCAAATTTCAATCAACTAAAACTAAAATTTTTGTTGTTGTCTTTCATTTCTAACAGAACCCTTTGGATCTTTGTTTTTATTTAATATAAATAATTTATCAGTTTTTTTGAAGCATAATTGTGAGAATGATATAAGAATAATATTGACTCTGTTAGTATGGACAATTGGATTTATGTATAACGAAACTCGCTCAGAGCTAAATATATATTCCATAAATTTCTACTTGCATAGAATTTTTTCTATAGTAATCACTCTGTATGTCGCCTATTTTTTATATATTTATTAAAGTAGTATTCGACATTTATTAAGTTAGGTTTGGTTGGAGTGGAAGCCATGTATATCAAACCCCACTTGATCTCAAATAATGTTCCGTTGTAATACCACGGTTTAGCGTTGCTCATACATAGACCAGAAAGACTCCAGAAAGGATAGTGATCAGCTAGCAAATAATGCTGAAATGCAGGATTCTCCCATTAAAGTGAAAGTGAGTCAACATTTCAAATCTAAAAACATGTTTCTAACGTTCTAACGTTCTAATTTTCTAAGTTTCTGATTTTAGAGTGAGACAGTACTGTCAGGTAGTTAATAAAATGGCACTATAAATTTTTAATTGACATTTGAAATGAAGAGTGAATGATTTTGCAGCAATTAATTGTGTTGTTTGACAGTTCTAAGTTACCCACTACAATACGATTAGTTAATTTATTTTATAATTGTATTTGTCATAAGATATTAGTTCTCGAATTTTAATTAATTATTAAATCACTTATTTATTAGTATATATTTATTTAAATAAAAAATAATGAATAGAAAAGTTTTTATAATAGCAGTCCGTTTCATTAAATTTGACAAACACTGCGATTTTAATTTAACAAAACGAATTGAGATTATTTCAGTTACTTAACATTTATATTTATAAATACTTAACATTTTTCCAATGATGAATAATTACATTCATTCATTATTTCCTGATTTCAAAACTATATACTTAAATAGTTTCTATATCTCTAGATTATCTAATTTGTATTTGACATGCACAGTTGCCTCTAAACAAATTAAAATGCAAATTATATTTTGTTATTAACAAAGCTTTGCTATTCTTTTATTTAAACGCTAACAATTTAATTAATATTATTATCACAGCCATTATTTGGTGCTAATTTGCGATAAAATCTTGATGTACAGCTTAAATTATATATCATTGCAATTGCATATAAAAGTGTATAATTACAGGTAAGTGAATGTTGTTGAAGATAGTAACTATTAATAATGCAAAAAAAAATTAAAATTTTTATTGGATTTACTACGCATTCCAATTAATTAAATAGATACAAAATGGTCAGAGAATTTGTAATTTGAAGTCCCGACAGTAATAACTCTATCTGCAGACTAGTTCCTGGCATAGAGAACTGCAATAGGACAGACAGTCAAGCAGCAAACAAAGCATTATCCACCTGGAAGTTTTCTTCAAAGCTTCTATTAGACTGCTTTGATAAGCTGCAGCAGCTGGCAAGCAAAAACAAAGGGTTGCTTTGCTGGGTGCCTGGTCACACAGGAATTAATGAAAATGAGTCTGCCGACAGTCTTCTCAAATCTGTGGGCTAAAGAGGTCTCTAATTGATAAATGGTTTTCAGCCAAGAGAAGTCGATAGTCGAGGTAGCTGTCAGGCTATAGAGCTGGTTCATCCCTACAGTTATGGTAAGGTATCCTTCTTCAGCAGAACAGAGTTGAGCTTGCTGGTGGGATATTTAATGGTTCACCATGGACTGAGTTATCACCTAAACAAAATGGGTCTGTCCGAAGAGATAGATTGTTGACTCTGATTCTAAATTGAAGTTATAAAAGTTAATAAATGTGATAATACCTCACAGGTATGAGGTGTAATTTACATCTCAATCATACATTACTGTGCGGACTGAATTCTTCGGAGACCACTATAGTTTGTTAGTATTTTGAAAATCTTGTTTAGCTTACTCTTTGACTGCTGTCATTATTTGAGAAGTCATATATAAAAATTTTAAAGATGAGATGAGAGAAAGGCGATTTCGAATAGATGTGTCAGTCGGCATATTCTCAAGACCTGGTGAAAATGAAAATGAAGTTTCAAAAAAACTGCTCCAGGAAAAAACACTTCATTAAATAAGTTATAATGACTGCATTAGAAATGGCAGAGAATATTTTGATAAGTAAGATTGGATATTGCTATAAATTAAGTTTAAAAAATGGAGAAGCTAAAACAATTCGCTGATGTCATTTAAAATCGAGTAAAGGTTCTAATGAAAAGTGTTAAATAAATAAGCCTGTTCCAATATTTTCTATATAATGTGTGGTTTTTTATTGAGTAATAAAAATTTTTTTAAAAAACAGTTTATAAAAGTGAAAAAATGGATTTTAAATTCTGTTTCATAAGAAAAAATTTTAAGAAATGTTTAATCAAATATACCCAAGTCGTCGTAGTATTTGAGCAAGTACCTTAAGGTGTCCATTGTACGTGGATTGCTTTTGAACATTAACTCAATTTTTTGACGTGCAAATTCTTCAACTTGTAGTTTCTGCAAAGAATTATCTTGCGAATCAAGGCCCAGCATAGACATAAGTGGGAAGAAAGCGAAAGCAACAAAAAAACCATAACCTTCTCTTTCATGAACTTCCTTTAAAATTTGGTCAAATGTTGGTAATTTATGCTCGTAAGGCAATATCTCCAGAGTACTTATTAAGGCTTTAAAATATATAGTGATGAGTTCCTCTTTATGCTGTTTAAGTACATCCAATTGTACACTAGTAATGAGAAAATAATTAATGTCAAAACCTAGACTACCATAAAAACAAAACTGGTAATCAATCTGAAAATTAATTTATATTATAAACTTCTTGCAAACACTAATATAGTCTTACTTACAAATCGTACTTCTGGTATATTTTGGTTTTCAACACTTCTAAAGAGTAAATTATTTACCCACAAGTCACCATGATTTAGTACATTGATAGTACCCTTAAGTGGATAAACTGCATTTAGCACACGTTCCCTTAGATTATCATAATATCTGAGTAATTTCTTTGATATCTTATCAAATCCCGGATAATCCGTTATTAATGTTGTCAACTTTAAAAGTTGCGAGCCGAAAAGCGATTTAAAAGCTTCAGATTCTACAGCTTCCTTGTTTATTAGACCAAATTGAAAGGATCCTTTTATGTTATCAGGTTGCTAAATAACAAAAAAGATTAAACATATATTTTATTCTATAAGTATAATAAAGGTAACCTTTTCAATTAAGCACATAGTCAAAGCATGATATTCTCCTAGTTTACGCATAACAGCAGATGCATGCATCTTATCCAAACCGATCTGCCGGCTTTGTTCTTCAAAACCTTGTCTGCATAAATCTTCTACTACAATTGTTTGTATCGGCGTGGTAGTGGAATAGTAATGCCTTTAGTAAGAAAAAAGTGATTGAATTAACAGTAATTTTTAATAACAAAGTATTAAAAATATTTACTTAGCACCCAAAATCCAGGTTTCATTCGAGCAGCACATAAGTGTTTCCAATTTCGGCATTATATCCAAATAGAAAATCGTTTCCTTACAATAAATGCTCAGACGTCCAAGAAGAATTTGTTTATCCATAGGCATGGATTTAATAATCAAATATTTTTCACTTTCCTTTCCAGCTTCGGTTTTGTATCTGATGCTTACTCCATATATGTTGCTGCAATAATTTTCACCACCAACTGTTAAATTTCTCAGTCTTATGTCCACTATTTCTAAGTTAACCAGTCTCAAACCATATTCAAGCGTTTGCCTCATAAAATCCTTGTTAAGATAATCTGGTGTAGTAAATCCCGTTGAACATGCCATTTCGTTACGTTGGTATCTTAGTTTAGAGATAACTGAGCTCAAAGATTTGTAATCGATTTGTTTTTATATGACTGCGACATGGAAAACTGTCAGTACACAAATAAAATTAATTGTTCTTAATCGAAAATCTATTTTACTGCGCCGATATTTCTTTGATTAGTTGAGACAATTGATCTTCGCCGTATGAATTTAAGACGAATTCTTCATAGACATCAATAAATATTGTTCTCATTATTTGATTTAGTTCGTCAATTTTAATTTAAGTCATTACACTTGTAAATTGGAATGAGATTTATAAATCAACTTTTATCTATGTACTCTAATTAATGAATTCATATTTCAGTTGTCAGACGAACAGTGAGTACAAGTATAAATAAAAAAACTATATATATTATCGATTTTAAGGTCTTTAAAAATAAATAATACGACATATAAAAAAATATAATGCACAAGAACTTAACAAACTCGATAAGATATATGGTATATAGATTACAGTAGGTTAACATGATCCCAAAAAATTGTGATTTACCACCATCTGGTTGTGATTTTCCAGGTTTCATATTGATCAGAAGTCCAGAGTTAGTTTAAATGATCACTTGCTGTGATAGCTAACACTATTTTCTTCTCAGCATATATATCAAGATGATATTGATGATGATTATGCTGGAATTGGTGCCGCGTTAAGTTCAGTACTGTTATCATAAGCATCACGTATTCTTAGCACATTCATAACAACTAAGTCTCAGAGATCATCATACATGACACTTCAATTTTGGAAAGAATGAGAATGGGCAGGTACTTCGATGTTTACTTAACATTACAAAATCTGCAACGAGAGACATGCTAGCTTTCAATCGAAAATCGGAGTTCCTTCATTTTAGTTTATGGCTATTATATTCGCAGTGCTTTGCTTTACTGGGTGTCTGAAACACAATTAATTTATATTGTATAGCATAACTAGCTCAACACAAAACTATTTTTACCAGAAAATCATTTTGAGGAGGCAATAACATTACTTGGAAAAGAGTTTATGGAAGCACTCAAATACTTTATTGAGGGTAAAATCAAAGTATAAGTAAATTGACAGTAAGCATATCCGCGTTCCCAATACATTATATATGACAGAAACTGTTCTTTCTTCTCGTAACAAAGATATGTTAATGTATAAACATATGATGATAATGTAAACAAAGATTTGTAAAATTGTCTATAATCCCACATACAGCCAATTCATTTGATTTGCAGTTACAATAATTTTGTAAATATAACTGAAAAATGCTAATCAGAAAAGTGGAAAAGGATACTTACAGAATCAGAGTACATGATAAGAGTTTGTAGGTAATTGATAAGCCCTTTTCTACAATACTTTGTCCACCAAGCTCATTCGCTATCTACACTAATAATATGATTCGAAGTCATTAAAAATCTTACGTTCAGATATCTAAAGAATGTTGATCTGTTTATAGTATATGTCATCAAAGTGCTTAAACACTTAGATGCCTAAGATCTTGCAGATAGTACGTACGATATTAGTCAATAACATTTTGTCAAATAAGTTTCTACAAATCTGTTGTTGTCAATGACTTCTACATGGATGCCTGAAAAAAGTTTAACTCTTTATCTGTCATTAAAACAGTTGAAACTAAAGGACCACTGATGGTCCTTTTCTTGTTGACATGTAAGATATTTTTCGACAACACTCTGTATAGAATCTTCAATGGTTCGTGCCTAATGTATAAAATTTATTCAAAGAGTTAAAAGTAATTCTTCACTTAATGTGTGAAGGATTAGGTTAAGGTTTGATATATTTAAACTGTAGTCGTTGGGTCTACTTTGAAGGTGACAAAATAGATTCTATTTGGTTGATAGATTTTTATTTGAATATAAACCCTAACAAATTAACAAATTACGGTTGAGTAATTATTTAGAAAAAATGTATATAAAATTAAGTAAAATAAAATTGAAAAAAGAGGTATTTTGAGCAGTAGTGCATTATAACAACAAAATTTTGTATTTACTAATTAATTGAATATTTTAAACGTAGTTAGAAAAAATAAGTCAAGTACGGCTTTGCGTTAGTTGGGTAATTGACATTTAGTTTGAGCTTCAAATTTGGCAAGACATGAGTTAAAGTCTTGGTACTTTCAGTTTTAAAAATCTATTTACGACTAATTAATATATAAGATATATATATAAAAGTCCACTAATGATGGGTATTTGGCAATGCTCGAAACAACTGTATCGTCATAAAACAATTCAATTAATTTAAAGAATATTAAAATTTTGTTGCTGTTTTTATACCTTTCTATTAAAACTATAGTTTCAATTAAGAAACATGGTTTCTTTTGTCATAATGGAGTTTAAAAATCAAATTTAATAAAATTGAATAAATTAGTAATTGAAAAGAATAATGTTCTTAATGTGTACGAACCGAACCTAATTCCATATCCTAAAATTAATTTTTAACTTAATTGCGAATTAAAAGTTTTTAAATTATGACAGACATATCATTTTATACAAATATTTTACAACTGGCTTATCTTATCTTCATAAAACTCAAAGTCTGGTGAGTGTATCTCTAGTAATAAAGCAATTAATCAATAAAATGTCAAACTAATTGAACCCGAAATGCTCGTAATTAAAGAGATTTTTACATCATTCATAAGATTTATTATGTGAATTTTAAAGTTACAATTATTATAAACAAAGAAAAATAAAGATATTTTAATTAAAATTTATTTAGTTAATTATTTTATAATCATAATTAATTTTTCTTTCCATTTTCAGTTTACAGATAAATTCTCGTAATACAAATAATGATTAAAAATCATTAAAAACCCCCAATGCTTCCATTCGTTTTAAATTCCATTTTAGAAATGCTTGGACTTTTTCACTGGAAAAAGATGCATCAAATTTTTTTCTCTTAAATGTTTCATCAGACCACGTCTCAATACTGCTATCGCCAGATGCCTCTTTTGGTATACTGATCATAGGGTAAAATCCGTAAAGACCAAATAAACCGTATAGTTCACGGCTACGCAACTCGTGCTGTAGATCTTCAAATGTGGGAATATTTGGGAAATGAAGACGCATCAGTGTTTCTGAGAAAGTTCTATAATATTCATAAATGAGATCATCACGATATTTTTGTAATACTTCTAATTGTACGCTGGTATTGAGGAAAAAGTTTATATCCATAGCAGGACTAGCATAAATACTTAGTTGAAAATCAATCTATATACAATATACAAAAAAAATTTAATTGGTTTTTATTTAATATTGTAAAGAGAGCGAGTTTAACTTACAAAAAGTGCACGTGTAGGTATTTTTGGTACTGTTGGATCATCATAGGCGAACATAAAATTTGTAGTCCATAGATCGCCATGATTAAGTACAACATATCGGTCATCTGGTTTAGTTTCAGAAGATTTAAGTGTTATCTCATTGAAGTGATCATAATAGTAAGCAAGACGTTCCGTGATATTTAAATATCCCTGCCAGTTTTTCACATAGGAAATCAATTGCAATAAAGTACTACCGAATATATGTTTGTAGGTGTTTGATTTAATTATTGTGTCTTCGCAGAGCATGCCATTCTTCAAACGTTTCACTATATTTGGATCCTGTGAGTATAGAAGTGGAAAGAACTTTATTTTATAATTTTATTTAAATTTATAATATATGATTTTTAATCCGACTTCTTATTCAATTAAAATTCCTTAACTTAATATAATAGCAATATGTATTTGAATTAATGAGGAAAGGACTGAAACTAAACTATTCAATATTCTTAATAGAAATAATAACTAATAATAACCATTTCATTTATAAAAATGAAGGAGAACCAGAACAAAAAACTTAGGATCATCACAGGAATCTTAACAGGAGATTGTTAACTAAAATACCACCTTAGAAGACTGGGCATTTATACGCATGCAAACTGTAGATTCTGTGAAGAGAATGAAGAGTTAGTCACACTAACGTATGTGCTAATGTACATACGGAATAGAGATCTGGGAATGTATACCTTTATGAAAGAGGTTATAAAGTTCTATAAACTAGGTTCTATACTACTGTAAAGACGCAACACGGCTTTCATATGGTTTAACTATAGCATTATAAAATGTGAGGATACTGGGAAAATGTATATTGGGGATGTAATAGACATAATTACCAAATTAAGGGTCATTGAAGAAACGATTAGATCAGGAAAAATAAAACGTAATTATTTGAACTGTTGCTCCCTCAATATTATGTGACGTTAGGAGAAAATAATGCAGTTATGCTTTGTTGAGTCTTTTCCGAGTTAGTGCATCTGGACACTTCTACTCTATGATGGCTGGGGAGTTTCTGCAGAATCCCACCCATCTCACTGACTAATTTCTTAAGTTCTTAAACAAAATAGGTGCTATTAGTGATTCTAATTATTTTTAATTAACTATAAGAGTAAACGAATGTTAATTTTTGTTTCCTAGTTTTGATCTAATAAAATGAAACTTTGGTTGACAATTGGATGAAATTGGCAGTCTATGCCAAAAAATTCTTATACAAAATATAAGTTTGCGTTGAAAACATTTTATAAAAAAATATAAAATAAATAAATTATCTATATAAATAATAAATAAAAGACCTACCAGAGACTTATCCTTTATGTAAATAAATATATATGCAAAGTTTAGTGCATCGTATTTTTAACAGAGTTCGGTGTGTAGGGTATTAAATTTTCTGCAAATCAAACCAAATTTTTTTTAAAATTTGATTTTTAAAGTCAATTATGATAAGAGAAATCATGTTTTTTAATAGAAGCTATTGTCTTAATAGAGAAATGTTTGGTAATTAGCCAAATACCCATCGACAATACTCGAAACAGCTGTATGGTCAGCCAAAAATGTAGTTAAGTAATAAATAATAAAATTTTTGTTGTTATAATTCGTTGTTGTTCAAAACACTTTTTTTTTAAATTTTCTTTTAATTTACTTATATACTTTACTAATATCACTTTGCAGAAAAAAACGGGTAACTATTTTTGTTTATATTCTTTAAACTCATAAATAGTTTACTTTCTTGTGTTTTTAATCTATATAAGCTAAAATTATTTTCATTTTTATTGTTTAATGGTTTTATTAATTTATTAAACATATCAGTACTTTTTGATTTACAATCTTAAAATTCTTACCTTTCTAGCCAAAACCATTGAAGTGGCATGAAATTTGCCCAGCTGTTGTAGCAACAAAAGGCTGTGATGCCAATCCAAACCATCTTGACGTGCTGCCAATTTGAATCCATCCACTTGTAGATCATCAAAAACGATTGTCTGAGTTGGTGACTTAATAGTGTAATAACAACTTTGAACAAAATGCAAAATTATTAAAAAACAATCACTAATTTTAATAAAAAAATCTCTCACTTTGCACCAAACTTAAAATCTTGTCCTAAAATCTCTAATCTCGGCAAAATATCTGTATAGATTATCTTTTCTTTGATAAATACACCCACATCTTCCAAAAATTGTGTTTCTTTGGTAATCGGTATACTCTTCACTATTAAATTTAATTGCTCTTTTTGATTGTATTCGCCACTCAATCGTTCGTATAAGACAACAACACGATATATGCACGAACAGTAATTATCGCCCGGATTACTGCCCCATTCAAAATTTATTTCAGTTATATTAATTTTTGCTTCTCGAAGACCCTCTTCTAAGGCTGTAGTGAAAAATTCATTATCCAAATAAGCCGGCACAACTATATTGTAAGGATTTTTAATAATCATTTTTGGTTTGTGTAGGGAACGCTATTGACTTTAGTACTGGCAAATGTATCTGTTAGTTTTAATTGTGGTTATACGTACTACACCTTTCAAGTTCAAAATCCGACTAAAAACTTTTAATACTGTTTAGCACATTTTAGTTATTATCTGAGTGAGTGTACTTATTCTTTTTGTTTATATACTAAGCACTAAAGTGTTGATTATACAAGCTTAAACGATTTTGTTTTAGTAGCCGTGATATGTTTTGCAAATTGTTTGTTTACTAATAAAAATCAGTGGTTCCGAATTGTTGCAAAATTCCCACTTCTGATTCAATGGATTTTGATGTTGTGGTTTATAACTAAATAAGATACCATAATAGTTAAGATGTACTAAGAAAAAATAAATTAACTTAGTCTTGCTCATTATATTATATATTAATTATTATTATAAAATATGTCATGCTGCAAAAGTCGTGTCTGTTGTTTATATACTTGTGCATCCGGAACTTTTCCCAAAATCGTATAAAGTTAAATAAATACATATATTAATTAAATAAAAAAAATTCTAAAACATTAATTTATATATAATTAAATGAAATTAATGTTATTTTGGAAATTTACAAAATTTGCTTAAAAGCAATTAAATGGTGTTTTTGTTCTGTGTCTCATGAAAAAATGGCTTGGAGAACTTCCGTATATTTAACATTTTTTGTAACTTAAAATTTCAATATTTTTTTAGTTGGAAACCCCAAAAAGTTTGTTTATCTATGCAGAAAAGATTACATAAAAAATTTAAATTAATTTTATTTGATAATGTGACGTGATAAATTGGGTAAACACACTTCAACTTGTTTTTCGCAGACATTGAACTACTAATTTATTTTATCAATGAATTTCTGCTTTTATCAAATCTTTTTTTATTATACTCGTACCTTCAGTCTACAGTTCTGTTCTTAAAAGTAAAAGTCTTTTTAAGCAATAAAAATATAGAATGATGAAATTTTTGGACTTTAAGTATAATGATGGATACTCTTAGATTACCCTACACTAATTAATGTTATCAGTATTTTAAGAAAAACAGTACTTCGACATACATATTGCTAAGATATCTGTCACCTATATAACTGAACAATTTACAACCTCAATTATTCGAAATATTTGAATCTAAGCGCTCTAACATTAATTACAACAATAATACTTATAACAGCCATTAAATTACAACAATATATTTAAACAATTGCCAGAAAAGGAGAAAGAAAGAAGATGAGTGTTGAGGTGATGGAAACGAAAAAAAAGGTAAAAGAGCAGAAAGAGGTAAAAGAGCAGAAAGAGGTAAAAGAGCAGAAAGAAGTAAAAGAGCAGAAAGAGGTAAAAGAGCAAAAAGAGGTAGGGAGTAATCCGGGGCAAGGAAGAGCAGGTTAAAGAGATGCTGAAGGAAGCAAAGGAGAAAGAAAGGAGGTGGGCGATAAGCTGATGGATGAGAAGAAAGAGGTAGAGGAGCAGAAAAAGTTTTCGAGTAGTCCAGGGAAAGGAAAATCAGGCAAAGGAGGTGATGAGGGAAGAAAAAGAAGAGGGGTGGAAGATTTAGTAAGGTAACGTAAGAAGAAGAAGATGAAGAAAAAGAAGAGCAAAGTAGTTATGGTTAGAGACTTAGAAAAGAAAGAGGTAGAAGAACAGAAAGTAGGCCAGGGGAAGGAATAACAGGTTAAAGAGGTGGTGAAGAAAAGGTGAAGAAGGGGTAAATTAGAGATAGTGGAAAAAGGTAGTAAAGAAAAAGAAGTTCATACAGAAAAAAAAAGGGGAAAGGAAAAGTAAAGAAGTTGTGCTGGGTGAGTGAGAAAATAAAAAAGTAGTAGAGCATAGCAGAAGAAGCGGTAAAGAAGGGTTGATGTGGGAATGCAGAGTTCGTGGTAAAAGATGTGAGGAAGAAGAAGTTCATAGAAGTAATGGTAGCAGAATAAAATAAGAAAGAGGCAGAACTGGTCTATGGGAGCTAAGAGCTGGTAATAACGGTAGTGTTGGGATAAGAGAGAACGGTGAAAAAGTAATTAGATGTAGTAAAGAAGAAGGAGGTTGAGAAATAGAATAATGGGGAAATGATGGTGAAGGAGTAAGATTAAAGATTAATTAGAGGAAAGAGGAACAGCTCCAGGAGAAGGAGAAAATGCTCAGGTATAAAGAAGGTGAGTGGAGGAAGAAAAATAATCAAATGCAGCAAACTATCTATGGTATAAGTAATGAGAAGCAGAACCATAAATATTTCGTTATAAAGCTAAAAGACCAGATAAGACAGTTTTTCTAATAAGAGAAGAAAGGAAATCTAAATTTTAACTGGATTTATCACCTGATGTTACGCCACTAAACTCAATTTATTCCATTTTGGTAATTCAATAGAGACTTTATTTAGAAGTGCTTATTTAATTTTCTTTAGCTAACTGACAAGTTATGAGTAACTTCTCGGTGCCCTGGTCGTCTTATGACAAAATTTCATCTTGAGAGTTTATTAACAGCGACTGCATGAATTATTGCGGCTCTTTTTGGTCACTGATATATAGAAACCAACACAGAGAAACTGCGCATTCATTTCAATACCGTTGTAGATGTTGTGGAAATTATTTTTCTGTGACTGATCGACTTTGGCTTTAAGAAGGCTTAGGTTTTTAGAGTCAGTACTTTTTGATAGTATGTTGCATTGTTCAGCGGACTCTTTAACTTATTTGAATTTAACGGAATAGATGGAATGGTAGTAATTATTTCCATAGGTTTCTTGCAAGGAATGTGGTAGTAAAATGGTCAATAATCGTCATTTATGGGTAGTGGATGCATATCTGATGATCTTCCACGATAACCAACTAACCAACCAACCATATACTAGAATAGCGAAGTTAAGGTTAATAAAACAACTAATGTACCTCATCATTTAAGTCCAGATTACGGAGTGCACTATATTAGCTGTTACTGGTTTATTGCTTTTATACAGTGGAATTCTCAAAATTGCAATTTAAATTACACTGCATAATAAAATTTTTAACTTATAAGCTTATATGAAATAAAATAACGTTTATATACAATGATTAATGGAAATATTTTCCATATTCTATAATAATACGTAATTTTATTGAGATGCATTCCGTAGATTACAACGTAGCGTATTTACAACTGAAATTAGGCCGGCACCGCGTTTGTATCTGCGGAAGAGTCGCAATTTAACTCATTACTGTCGCGACACGTCTCCATTTGTAGAATTGTAGGCTTGTGTACTTAAGTGACTGTTCTTTTGAATAAAATATGTCAAGTCATTTTGTGGCCGGTAAACACACGAGTTCACATCAATTGAGATAGTTTTTTATTGTTTGCTCTGAAATTGTTTGATTACAGGCTTTTTACCCACATATTCACATATGAGTTTATTCGCATCATGAGCAAATTTTTAATTTGCAAGTTCATTGCTAATTACATTTTTATTTCTCATGAACAGTAAAATAAATAATACTATCAGTATTTATTTTAATTACATATTTAGTTAATTAAGTAAACACTCGAGACATGCCCACTTCATACTGCATTAGTGATAAGATAAGTAGACCTACGATTTGATTTAAAAGCGATATTGAAAGGTTCTTGTGTGGACTGAATTTAGTGTTAAATGTGCGGTTTTTAACATTTATTTTTTTATTTATATTTATTTATTTTCAAATTACATAATATATTAAAACGACATATTTAAAAACTTTTAATTACTTTTAAATAATTTAATGAGTGTTTTTGTATTCTTTTCATTTGTATTTTATAAAGTAATGAGTACTGCTCTATGCACTTTGCGTCACTGAAAAAAAAAAACTTGGCTCTATAAAAAAAAATATTTATAACCAAGTGCTATTATATAAATATATCTATAAATGTGCAACTATAAACTTGCTGGTGTGAGTCGCAAATAAATTAATCATCATCACAAGCCACAGTGGGACACTTTAACCCACTAAAACCATATTTTTTAAATGAGCTATGAACATTTCAGGTCATGGTCCTGAGAGTCTCATTTCAGTTATAACGGGAGTGGTAAATGCTGAATAGACTTAGTACTTTAAAAATTGAATTCAACTGTGTCAGAAAACATGAACAATATTTAACAAAGTACTTAGGCGAATGAAGGGTGTTGGGCCAAATAATATATTATACTCAGGTCAATCTATATATGAGCGCGGTTTGATAAGTCAGCGACTTTTTGAATGAAACAAATTTTTTTCGGCAAATAAACATTTTATTTTTCTACATAATCACCTTTTAGCTCGATACATTTAGTCCAGCGTTTATCTAATTTTCTTATTCCCTCCTAATAATAGTTTTTCTCAAAGCTTTTAAAATACGCGTTTGTTTCGGTAATGACTTCTTCATTGGATTTAAATCTCTTACCGCCCAGCCATTTCTCTAGGTTTGGAAACAGAAAATAGTCGAAGGGGGCTAAATCTGGAGAATATGCTGGTTGGGGTAGCAGTTCGTATCCCAATTCGTGGATTTTGGCCAGTAATGCTTAATCAGCACACGAAATTGACTTTTTCCATTTTCGTAAAAAATTCAAGAGGTTGTCTGCTTTGAACGGCTATCAAACACCAACTGAATGACGTCGCTTGCTCAAAATTAAAAAGTTCCCCACTGGTAGATTACAGCTGACGGCAGCACTGTTGCATTTGAAGTAAATGCGCGGGAAATCAAAAAGTCACTAATTTATCAAACTGCCCTTGTATTAAATCTCAGGTCAAAATATTCTTATTTGACGTATAATGTTGATTCAATTAAAGCACATGTTGGTTTTTTTGTTATCTTTCCCACATAAGCTAAAATTTTTCTAACCAAATGATCAGGCTGACTTTAGTCTTTTTCTGAGTGTATTTATAACTTATTATTTATGGATTTACTCTTAATCTGTTAAATTTTGTTGCTCAATCAAACATTCTTAGAGTACTCTAGCATTTTAGTTATCGAAAATGTTATTCTAGATATTTATTTATTATTATTGACACGTTCAAAAATACAAATTCAAGGACTTAGTCTAATTACAAAATATTTCCAATTATTTCTATCTATAAAAGTTATAGGCTTTTAGTTCACTGAAAGATTTCCATGACTCTCTGTTACTTGTCCTACTCTATACATGTATTATTTGGTCGACCGCGATTTCTTTTTCCTTATCGAATCAAATTACACTTTATCTTTCAAAGCATATAAAACAGCTGTTAATTTTAGAGTAACCTTGCTAATCTGGCAAAATATCTAGAGTGTTATAAATTAATATCGATTGTTATAGTTTTTGCTCTCCAGATCTACCAATCTCAAATGATAATTGCACTAAAAGTGCATCTCTATTAAAAAAATACCCCAGATATACCAATCGAAAACTCCGTTAATGGACTTAAATCCGTATTATTTTCTTATTGTATTAATAAAGTAGGGTCTAGTAATTACAGACCCTCTAAAAGTCTTAATGTATTATTAGAGATACGTTTAGTTTAAGAATTTCTTTATGCAATATATTGATTGATTATTTAAATAAATATTTGATAAATATTTAAGTCCATTATATACACATTTGTAGGTGTTAAAAATAATCTCAAAGACATGACCAAAATGTTCTGTTATTGTAAATATTTTTTGTAACTAATAAAATACAATATTAATTTACATATATATTAACAATATTTAAATTGTGTATTACACGTTTTTTTTTACCTTTTAACTATAAATAAATTTATCTATTCAATTTTCATTTGAATTTCAAATTTTCACTTATTCAATGATAAATGGTAGGCAAATAAAAATTTACAGGTTTTAAAAAAGCCGTACGAAATCTAAAATACCTGAATAAACAAATAAATTAAATTTAATTAAATTAAATTAATTTTTCAAATTATTTCCAAAAGATTATTTACTAAAAACTAGGACATACAAGTTACAAAGTACTATCGCATGGCAGAGGAGTTTATAGGTCAGCGATTATGTCAGAGTGGCGAATACATGATGAGGTGACCTGAGCGCAGTAAAAGTGTGCGACGAATCGACTGAATATCATATTATGTTGAAGTTATTTGAGCTAGTGCATTTGAGCACTTTTACTCTTTATTAACTCGAGGTATCTTTAAAACCCTTCTTTACGCCTTGATTGGATTACTTGACTGGAGGAGTCTGTAATCATTCTGAGATTTAATAACGCGGTGTTGGTAAGTCTGTTAGTTTTCGCAAATAATTTTAGGGCTCTATCCTTTATGTATTTTTTGATGGGATCAAACTTGAGGTCCCTGAGGATGAGGATGAATATCATATTCACATACAAAATAATACAGGTTAATTTGAGGTAGGGTTTCTGTATGTGGTAGTCATGTTATATAAGATATGAACATGCAGTAAATATTTTTTATTTTTTTTTTAATTTATAAAAACTGAAATTGTTATTCGATCGCAACGAGGTCATGCATTCTCACAGATAGAAGTTGGTTTTAAACAGTACTTATATTCTTCTTAAAAGGAGCTCTTTAATTGATTTAATCTGTGATACACAAGGAAATAAAAGGAATGAAGTAAGGAGTACTTTTTTCTCTCAAACCGAGAAGAAGTTGAAGAACTTTTTGGAATGTTTGTGACATTATATATTATTTACAAATAATCCTTTCCAGTACTGTATAACTGTGTTCTACAATGCTCATTATTGTAAATAAATATTGTAAATAATTTTTATATTTTTATGCTAATATTAGCGGAATATCTTAAATCTTTATGTATTGCAATTTTCTTGATAATGACTTAAACATTTTTTGTTTAATTTAGAACAAAGTTAATTTTTATTTTATTTTATATTCAAATATTTAATCTATATTTTATTATTATTAAATCACAATTAAATAATTATTATTAAAAACAAACGAAGAAGTAATATTAGGCTTACATTAAAAAATTAATAGAAAGATTCAAAAAAATTGAATACTATTACTACTTCATTTAATAATCATCTAAAACTCCCAAATCATTGAAACGCTTAAGACCCCATTTGAATGTTTCCTGTAACTTTGGATTACCAAAAACTGCCTCAAATTTTTTGCGTTTACCTTCTGCATCTGTCATACTATCAATACTATTGCCTTCAGAAAGTTCTTTGGGTAAACTAATCATAGGCAGAAAAGCAAAAAGTCCAAATAAACCCACAAGTTCTCGACTACGTAGCTCATATTTAAGATCATCCAGAGTTGGTACTTTTTCATAACGTAAAAATATTAAAGTATCAGAAAAGCTCTTATAATAAGCTGCAATCAGATCATGACGTTTGTGTTGTAGTACATTTAGTTGTACGCTAGTATTAAGAAAGAAGTTAAGATCATGTGCTGGACTACCATAGAAACTTAATTGAAAATCAACCTAAAATATAAGAATTCATATATATCGTAATAGTAATTTAAATAATATATTATATTTACTTACAAATATCGCTTTCGTGGGAGTGTTTGGAGAGTTTTTATCATTATGAGTGTACATAAAATTTGTAGTCCATAAATCACCATGATTAAGTACTGTAATTCTATCACCTGGTTTGGGAAGTGCTAATTTAGAGGTGATTTCTTTAAAATTATCATAGTAACGTTGTAGTTTTTCAGCAATTTTTTCAAATGTGGGCCAAGTCTTAGTTACAGAAATTAATTGTGCCAAAGAACCACCAAACATGATAAAGAAAGTCTCACTTTGTAGTACAGTTTCGGCAGAAAGCATGCCTTTCTGTAAGCGCGGAATAATTGTTGGGTCCTTGATTTAGGAATATATATTATATATTGAATTTCATACTATGGACGTGTATTATATATACTTACTCTATGTGCTAGGACCATAGAAGTGGCATGAAATTTACCCAATTGTTCTAGTATCAGTTTGCTATGCAACCAATCCAAACCCTCATGGCGTGAAGCTGTATCGAAACCTTCTACTTTAAGATCATTGAAGACAACAGTTTGAATGGGCGCCTTAATAGCGTGGTATAATCTATTGAGAATTAAATAGTTTAATGTTTTTTTTTGTTGATTAAAATAATTTTTCATTTAGAAGAATTAATAAAAATTTATTCTTTAAAAGAAAAATTAATTGTGTGTAAAACCCAACTTTCTCGGATTTTGATGGTATGTTCCTCTACATTAATACCAAAAACAACTTAGTATTTTTCTTCTTCTAAAGAGAATAATAATAATTATTTTTACATGTTATTTTCTTTTATAATTTGTTAATTTTTTTTTTTAAATAAGGAATTAAATATACAGTTTTTAAATATATAGTAATGGTAGGCTCAACTGTCTAGAATATTATGTATGCATATATATGTATTCTATGAAAATTATAAATATACTATAAAATTTATATATATGTTAATATAGTTAATATAGTTAATATATTATAGTTGATATAGTTAATATAGTTACAGGTACTACAACAATATCTAGTACTAATAAATCAAGAACAGCAATTCCATATTTTATGAAATATATACTTTATGTAGCAAAGTAAAGACCAAAATATTAAACCCGGTTGTATATATACCAGTTACTTTATATAGAATAAAATAGTTAAATAATATAACATCAGATATATAAAGATTATAATTTTTATTTACATATTATATTTGCATTTATAAATGTATAAATATCCAAGGCTTCTACAATATATGTGGGAACCATTTCAGATTAGTAATAAAATCCAAAAAAAAAATGGGTTTTCTAGCTTAAAATTGTAATTATAATCATTATTTTTATATTATATTTGCATTTAAAACTATATAAATATCCGAGATTAGATTAGAAATAAAAAAAATGGCTTTTCTGGCATATGCATACGGCTATAGTTCTTCAGTATATATATTACTCAGTATTATATTATTATAATATTTTATAAATTTTTATAAAAATATTCCTATATGTTACATTTAATTAAAATTTACTTTGCTCCAAATTTTTCACCATTGGTTAAAATTTCCAGACGTGGAAGTACATCAGTGTAGGTTAATTTTTCTTTAATGAATACGCCTACATCTTCTAAAAATTGCGTTTCTTGCGTTATCGGTATAGTTTTCACAATTAATGATAATTTTTCTTTTTCGGCTTTCTCAGTGCTATATCTTTCAAAAACTAACAACACGCGATAAATACTAGAACAATAATTATCTCCCGGATTACTACCCCATTCAAAATTGATTTCATGTATTTTAACTTTAGTTTCTCGTAACCCTTCTTCCAGTGTATTAACAAAAAATTGTTCATCCAAATAGTCCGGCACTTTTATTTTTGAGGGGTTTTTCACGATCATTTTAAATTTTTTTTTTCTTTTATTTATTTATTTATTTATAAAAAATTTGTTAATTTTGTTGTTGTAATTTTTTTTAAATAAAATTTTTTTTTTAACTTAAAGATGAGCCAACTTTCACGTTGTTTCAGTTCACACGTCTCGACGTCTACTAAAATTTATTTGACACACTCAAGTGTTTAATACAGACAAATAGAAAGAGGGTCTGGTGCACGCTTCTATCATAAACAAATTACATATATATTTTATATATATATTTATATATATATATATATTATATACGTATGTAAATACTTATTAACATTATAAATATACTTAAATCAGTGACGATTTGTTGTTTGTAGTTTTTTGAAGATTTTGCTTTGTCATGACGTGTAAAAACTTAACATTGACATTAAGAGATCTTTTGACTGCTTTAAAAAATTTGGTTCTAATAAAATTTTAAGTACGAAGAACTTTATCTTTTTCTACGTTATCATTTAAATAAATTCCTACTATCTCTGTTTTTTTTTTATAAACACGCTTTTTTTGTATCTGGCAGGTTTTTATAGTTTTTATACTTTTTGTATGTATCTATGCCGATAAGACTACTTGATATACTAAGGGACTTTTTTCTTTAAGCTACAATAGCTTACTCATATTGGAAATGATTTGAATTTCTTGATTAATTAGTCTGAAATTAGTTTGAATTTACTTGTTTATATAAATTAAGATTAAATTGTTTTTAGCAGAAATTTATTGTTAATTAATTGAATTTAGTTAAACGAAAAATGTTGGTTTGTCCACGTTTTGTTAATAAATGTTGTTAACAATTTGTTATTATATGTTAAAATTTTATAAAAACAAAAATAAAAATGTTATGTTAAAATATTAGAATATGAGAGAAAATTAGAATAGCAACTTAAAATGTATTCATCTCTAAATTTATTAACATTTTAAGATTAGAGACTCTTGATAATATTTATAATAAATATATTGAATATAATAAATAACTTACAATGATAATTCGATAAGTATTTATAAAGCTAATTAAGTATTTAATTATACATGGCCTTAACAACACGTTATCGGGTTAATTATTGTTATCGGGATTCGGCCTCACGCAAAATGTCTCTCCAGGCGCCTCTGCGCGTCTTCTTCAGTCTTGTAGTTCAAGAGCGGTTAGTGTTTTCTGAACTTGATCACTTTACCGGAGACACAGTTTACCCGTAAGTTTTCTTTACTCCAAATAAATCGCCGGTATTCAAAGCTGGAGCAGTATCACCAATTCTCTCAAATTGATTAAGCCAGAGTAGCCGTTGGATGTTAGTTCGTTAAACTACAGTAATGTTGTGGTATGATCAAAAAGTGACAAGAATACCTCTTTTTTGCAATAAGAATTTAGTTGTTGTTCCATTCATCCTGTTAAAAGTAGTCTCATTATGAAATGAAATGTGTATGAAATTGTGTAATTATGCGAATGGATTATTCAGTTTGAGAAACACTGTTAGAGCAAATTTCTAGGTATGTGCGATTTCGTGTTTATCTGATCTACTCTTGAAAACAATTCTTTTGTGATGTCGTTTAGGGTTTGAGAAATAGAAAAAAGTCGAATAGTGTCATGTCTGGAGAATAACGTGGTTTCAACATAAAGTCATACACGTTTCCAGGAAGTAGGGTCTGAGAAAGCCATTCAGCAAATTTTGTAATTAAAAACTGTTGTTAATTATTTTTTTAACATATAAGTATTATAAACCCTATTAAAAAAATCAATAAATTTCTACCAATACATATTGATCTTTCATTTATAAGTTTTATTTTATTAAGAAGAATTGTAGAAGTGACAAATTTTTGGAACAATTATTGTTGTCACTTGTTTTATATATATTCGAAAAAAATATTCCAATAATCATATGACTTCCGTACTTACTCAGATACCTTTTTTAAAAGGTTTTTTTTTTATCAAGCGCAATCTGTCTTTTTGATCTTCATAATGAAAAATGGCTCTTGTCGTAATTCTTGTTTGTGCTGAATCGATGTGGAAAGTATGTTCATATGTATGAGCAGTCAAGTGCAACAATTAGTTACAACACAATTATTTTTTAATCAAAAATATTGTGGAACTACAGTGTCTTTAACAAACCCCTTTTTGTTTATGCGTATAACTGTTTTTTGAAGTTATAGATGAGCAGACTGACAAACTTCCAAGAAACCGCTGACTCTAAAAATCTAATGCCTAAAAACGCCTAAGCTGGCCAGTTACAGTGATTACTTGGTTATTTTTTTTTTGCTATACGTTTCCATAACTTACACAATAGGTATTAAAAATAATTTATACATTTCAATTTTAATTTTCAAGTTTCAAGTTTCTATCATTTATAGAGCCTAAGATATGGCTGTTTAAAAATGTGTCTATAATCCTACTTCTCCAAACCCCACAGGTTTATATCTCCGGGGAAAAAATTTCAAAATTTTTTGCTGAAGTATAGTTCTTCTTATTTTATGAAAAGTGTTCATAAAAAAATTTCAACTAAATGGGAGGTGATGAGGTCAAAAAGGTGTCCGATTTGGAACAGAATGAGCCGTATAGAGTTTCTCTGCTAGGATTTCTATGTATCAATGATCAGAGATGACTGCAGTAAACCTTGTTGTATGCATTCTGCCCATACAAGTCAGTTTGTAGACGATTGAGTCTATCAAAAAGTTATACAAATCAAAGTTTTTGGTATTATTATTTAAAAATATTCTGTGATTTCTAGTAATTCACAGATAACTATAGATAACTTCATCCAAAAAATTTCTATGAAAAGGTATCTAAATATAAATGAATTTTTATAGATTTTTTTTTGGTGTTTTATCTTTTGTAAGACAAATTATATATTTATATTAAACAATATGTGTGATGTCCCTGATGGTGATTATTTTGAAGGGTATAAAATATATATTGAAAAATAAATTAACTGTTATTGTTTTATTTTAAAATTCCGGGTTATATTATATTTGAACAAAAGCTTTACATACTTGGTACAAATGTTGTATATATGTATACAAATACATACTTATGTTTTTTTTATAGTATTCAACAGTTTCTAATGATTAAGTGTAGGCGGTGATTTATATCATCATTAATACAATATATTTCAGACCACATAATATGTGTAGAATAATATATGTACATTTGTTAAATGGAATTGAGATATATATAACCATATATTTATATATTTTTATATAAAAAATAAACAAATGAAGATTTTTTAATATGACTTAAATTTAAAAAAAAACACGTACGTACGAGTATAATTCCAATAATTAAACGTGATTAGCTGCGCTGTTATTTTTTAATAAACTGAACCGGTTAAGGTATTTAATTTAAATTATTTTTTTGTTTAATTTAAATATATTTAATATAATCAAATTTAAAATATAAATATGTAAACAGACATTTTTTGAAGTGAATAATTTTTGTTAAGTGCCACATAATTAGAGTAAAACTAAATCCCTTTTTATTTGTTTCATTAAAGCTGATCTAATATTGATTTTCCATTTGCAATAATTTTGTAAAATTATTTAAATTCCTACAAATGAAGTGAATGCTGAGTAATAACAAAATAATTCAATTACAAACATAATCGTAGCATTACAATTAACCAAATTTATCTAAATAATGCTTTGCAAATTACAACACAGCTGCAAAGTATAAAGTTTAATTTGTTATCATTAAAATTTGATTAAAATATTTAATTCCTGATAATCGGTTGCTAAATAATTAAATTTTTCGGCAACCTCCTATCATAACTTGTTTGACGTTTCACTCACATTTTTTTTGCTTTTTACCTAGAATTATTTAATAATAATAAAAACCAATTGTTATATTATGTTATGAAGTAAATATTTTCACAATTTTAATTTATTATAATATTAAAATAAATATTGTTTCAATTTGTGCAGAACATAATTATGTAGTTCAAATACAAAATGTGTGGATAACAAAAAAAATAGCACATTCCACTTATGTAAATAATATTAAATTTATTTATATATCATTTAGCGCAACCAACTAAAATGTAATGTAACTAATGAAATATGAAAGTGTAAATAGTATATCAAATAAAGCGCATAAAATTCGAATATAATGTCTGTCTCTTTGCTTTTGTACATTGTCAAAAGTTTTAAATTGATAGTTACTTTATATAGGTTTAAATTTGAGGTCATATATGCAATATTTACATGTATTTCTTTCTGTGTAAATTTTATTAACACCCGCATATTGGTTTTATATGGTATATGTAATACATATATATATTATATATTATATATATATGTTATGTACGAATAATTAAATCCTATGTTAACTTTAATAATATTTCAGTTTTCATCTGCGGTCTGTTTGCTTCATTAACTTCTATTCTCATCAGTTAGGAAGCTTAAATCCTGACAACTAATGATATACTTTCAAAAAATAATTTACTATCACTCCTCTTTCAGCGTTGGCTATGTAGATCAACAACTGAAGTTCTAGCAGATTCCTCAGTCTAAATATAATTGAACTTAAATAAATGACTCGCAAATGCTGTTGCTTATCTTAACTTTCAAGAAAGTGGACAAACAGATGTGGAGATCTGCAGAAATAAATAGTGGATTGTATACTCATCTTATTAGCTTATATCCCGCGTTGCTAAAAACTAGTCGAGCAGTTGTAGATGGCTATCATTGTACTGAACAGGGCATGGATTAAAATCAAAGAGTACAGCAAGGTTTATTGTTTACCTGAACTAAGGATTAATATTAACTTTAATATAATAAATATATTTCATAGGTTGTCATATACAGTGTGATTTCATTTAGGTTATTTAAGCAAAATTTCTTATAGATCTCCTTGTTGAATTGACTTTATATATGTTGAGTTTAAGATATGTTAGCATAAGAAATCTAATATGTCATAGAGTACAATATAATTCTTTTTTTCTTAATAATACTGGTTAAGATTTTATTAGTTTAGTTTAATAATAGATTATTATTAACAGCAAATATTTGTTGTTCTCTGGAGGTTAAAATTGTAAAAAATCTTGAGTAATATTTAATATTTAAAATTATTACTATATAAATAATCATTTACAGTCAACTTTAGATATTGTAGTCAATTAAAATAAATT